CAACATCTAAAAGCAGCGAACTCTGCTCTCCAGAGCGAGTAGATTGGTAACCCCGCCTCCTGCTCTCCTCTATCTTGTCTGCTGTCATGATTCATGCAGCTATTATTTCATCCAAATGAAAAATGGAGAACAGAGAAGCAGATCATGGCTTGTCTACAGTGAAAAGAAGGACTGGGTTGTTTACTTTGGCCTTTTTGGAAACACAGGAAGGAGCAATCAGCTAAGTGAGCTTAGTGCTTGGAAAAAATCTTTCATTCCTTTAGAGACAGCATGAAAAGTCAGCTGAGTACAAAACATAGAGAGGAAAACAAGAAGAAAAGGGACAAGAAGAGAGGGACACAACCTAGAACACATAATGGATGTCTATTCTATTAACATTTCTCTATCTGTTCTATGTGTTGTCTTCTCCGTTCAGAGGGCCCCCTGCCTGTATTTGCCTAGGGCCCCAGATTTCTTAACTCCGGCCCTGGCTGCAGGTACCTCTCTGTGTTTGGCCTTGAAAACGATCCCATGAGCTCCTTCTCCAATCCGACCCAAAATGCTGTACTGCTCCATGTCTGCAGGAGCTGCTGGTTCCTCACTGAGGGCGGAAAGATCCAACAGCAGAACCCGGAGCTTCCTGGAGGCCAACAGGAGAGGAAAGATGGAGGAGAACCTCTGAGGTTAGCCGGAATGAAGCTCTGAGTTTCTTCTCACTAGAACTAAACCATCGCTTATTCTCACGCTAACTCTGAAAAAAATAACCGTTTTTATTTTGTTCGAAGCGGATAAATACAGAAAAACTGCGGATTTAGGCGGAAAAACGGCGCTTTGACGCGGAGACGTCGCCATGGTGACGGCTAGGCGCTGTTTCTCTTCTTCTTCTTGTGAGGATTTATGGCAGTTGGCAAACTAGTTAAAGGGCATTACCGCCACCTAGTGATAAGGAGTTAAAGTAACTGGAAACAGGACTTAACCCCAGAAAAAATTAATAAAAGTAATAAAATAAAAAAGAAGAAGAATAATTGGGATTTAGTGGATCAATGTTTTATTGGATAAAATATATTTTAAGAGACAGATCTATACCAGGTCTCCCTTGAAAAAGAGATTTTATTTTTTTCTTCCTGGTAAAATAAAGGTAAAATAAAATAAATATACAAGTAAGAATAGGACAAAAATTTTTTCAGAAAGGTTTTTTGTTGAAAATGATGCACCACAGGGAACTATAGTGAATCCTGTTTTTATCTATTAGGATTAATGATATGTTTGAACATCTGGAGAGAGGAATGGGCTTCTCTTTACTCGCTGATGATGGAGCAATATGGATGAGAGGGAACATTTAAAATGTAATTGTTAAAAAGATACAAAAAGCAATTTAATATCATAGAAGATTGGTCTTTTAAATGGGGATTTACATTTTCTATAAACAAAACAAAGACTTTAATTTTTATGAGGAAGAAAGCGTCTGAAAATTTAAAATAACAAATAAATAATCCTGAATTAGAAAGAGTAAAAGGAATTTAAGTTTTGGGGATTATGGTTGGATGAAAAATGAATTTAGAAAGTTAAGAGTTTTAAATGTAATGAGGGTTTTGGTGGGGAGTGAGTGGGGTGCAGAGAGGAAAGCAATATATATATATACTGCTTTAATAAGGTCTGTATTTGATTATAGCAGTATAGCTTTTGGATCAGCATCAGATACACTACTCAAAAAATTTGAAAATATTCAGTATCAAGTTACGAACAGAAGCCGTCAGAACAACGTCAGCTTTACCGGTAGAAATGGGAGAACTTCCACTTTAGTTCAGAAGATTTAAAGAGTTAAAGACTGTAATCTTTAAAGAATTTAAAGAGCCATGATGATAATCATCCATGTCATCACATTTTAAAACCTAGCTGGGAAAAGGAAAAAAGAATTTAAATTCTTTTAGTTGGAATATAGAAAACATTATAAAAGACTTTGATTTAGCTTATACAAATATCAGTCAAACAGTTCCTCTTTCACCGGTTCATCCGTCTATAATTCCTGATATTGTTGTTGATTTTACTTTATTGGAGAAACGGAAAAAAAGAAAACCTGTTAGATTCAATTTCAGGACAAATTTATTTAGACAATAAATACTATTGATATGTCCAAATTTGCACAGATGCTTCAAAAGATTGAAATAGTAATAATTGTTCCAGAATTCAGTATTAAAAAAGGTAAAAGAATTACTGATGGAGGATCAGTTTATGCAGGAGAGATGATGGGAATCATTTTGGCTTTAGGATGGATTGAGGAAGTTCTTCCTGTAAGAAGTATAATATGTTCTGATTCAGTTTATCGTTATATTCAATATTAAATAATCTACTAGTAGAGCAGTAGACCTTTTATTAGAGATTCAATTTTTAATTTATAGAATTCAGACAGTGGGTTTAATAGTTGTTTTGGATACCGTACATGGATACCGTATCATATAGGAGTAAAAGGTGGCAGATAAATATGTAAAACAAGCTACAACATATTATTATATTGATATATTGGTACCAATTAGTAAAGAAGAAATTAAATCTATTATTAAACAAAAGGTTGAGAAAAGATGGAAGAAGCAGAGGGAAGAGGATGGAACTGGACGGTGGCTTCATTAGAAAAGTTGGAACAATGAGGAGAACGGGAAGAAATAGAAAAGAGGAAACTATTATATCCAGATTAACTTTTAATCATACAGAGTTAAATAATATATTATTTAAAACATCCAACAGGAAATAATGATTTTTCTTCTCAAGAAGAGACAGTAAAACATTTTTTGTTGGTCTGTTCTAAATATTCTGTTGAAAGAAAAGAATTAGTCATTACAAAAAATTATTTGCAATTAAATATACTAGATAATTTTATACTTCTAAATGTTTGTTATTTAATTAATTACCTGAAGAAACAGAATTTATTAAAAAGACTATAGGATTTATTAACTTTATTATATTTTTATTGTGTGTGGGAGAGTTTATATAGCATCCGATCCGCACTTCATTCCAGTAGATGGCGGTAATGCGCTTCATTAAGTAGCTTACCAACCGCCGTAAAAAAAAAGAGGAAGAAGAAGAAAAATCGTTTCCGGTGTTGTGTTAGCAGCATGCTAACTGTGCTAACCTGTCTGTCTGTGTCGCCAAAAGGGGAATAAATCTTCAGGCAGAGACTCCAGGGGCCACAGCGGGACCCAGGGGGCCACAGCGGGGCCTCCGCAGCTTCTGACTGGTTCCGGTTTGAACCAGTTATGGAGAAAATGTCTCCTCCTCACAGCGTGGAGGAGAAGGTCCTGCAGTATGAAGGCTTCATCAGCGACGTCCTGCGGAGAGACCTTCAGTAAGAGAGTCTTCTTAAACCTCCCTGACAGCAGGAGAAACCATTGATTGTCTACACCAGGGGCCCCCAACCCCGCTCCTCAGGGGCCAACAGCAGGTTTTAGATGATTGCTGCTCCAGCAGCCAGCGAGGAGAAGCCTGTTCCTCTGCCATGAGTTTAACTCAGGGAAGCAGAAGCTGAGAAACAGCTGAAGCAGGAGGTCCTGAGGACCAGGGGCCCTGAAGGAGCAGGGGTCCCTGAAGGAGCAAGGGTCCGAGGACCTGTAGTCCTAAAGGAGAAGGACCTGTAGTCCTGAAGGAGCAGGGGTCTGAGGACCTGTAGTCCTAAAGGACCATGGGTCTGAGGACCGGGGCCCTAAAGGACCAGGGGTCTGAGGACCGGGGCCCTAAAGGAGCAGGGGTCTGAGGACCTGTAGTCCTAAAGGAGAAGGACCTGTAGTCCTGAAGGAGCAGGGGTCTGAGGACCTGTAGTCCTAAAGGACCAGGGGTCTGAGGACCGGGGCCCTAAAGGACCAGGGGTCTGAGGACCTGTAGTCCTAAAGGACCAGGGGTCCGAGGACCTGTAGTCCTGAAGGAGCAGGGGTCTGAGGACCTGTAGTCCTGAAGGACCAGGGGTCCGAGGACCTGTAGTCCTGAAGGAGCAGGGGTCTGAGGACCGGGGCCCTAAAGGACCAGGGGTCTGAGGACCTGTAGTCCTAAAGGACCAGGGGTCCGAGGACCTGTAGTCCTGAAGGAGCAGGGGTCCGAGGACCTGTAGTCCTGAAGGAGCAGGGGTCTGAGGACCTGTAGTCCTAAAGGACCAGGGGTCTGAGGACCGGGGCCCTAAAGGACCAGGGGTCTGAGGACCTGTAGTCCTAAAGGACCAGGGGTCCGAGGACCTGTAGTCCTGAAGGAGCAGGGGTCTGAGGACCTGTAGTCCTGAAGGACCAGGGGTCCGAGGACCTGTAGTCCTGAAGGAGCAGGGGTCTGAGGACCTGTAGTCCTAAAGGAGCAGGGGTCTGAGGACCGGGGCCCTAAAGGACCAGGGGTCTGAGGACCTGTAGTCCTGAAGGACCAGGGGTCCGAGGACCTGTAGTCCTGAAGGAGCAGGGGTCTGAGGACCTGTAGTCCTGAAGGACCAGGGGTCCGAGGACCTGTAGTCCTGAAGGAGCAGGGGTCTGAGGACCTGTAGTCCTGAAGGAGCAGGGGTCTGAGGACCGGGGCCCTAAAGGACCAGGGGTCTGAGGACCTGTAGTCCTAAAGGAGAAGGGGTCTGAGGACCTGTAGTCCTAAAGGAGCAGGGGTCTGAGGACCTGTAGTCCTAAAGGAGAAGGACCTGTAGTCCTGAAGGAGCAGGGGTCTGAGGACCGGGGCCCTAAAGGACCAGGGGTCTGAGGACCTGTAGTCCTGAAGGACCAGGGGTCCGAGGACCTGTAGTCCTGAAGGAGCAGGGGTCTGAGGACCTGTAGTCCTGAAGGAGCAGGGGTCTGAGGACCTGTAGTCCTGAAGGACCAGGGGTCTGAGGACCTGTAGTCCTAAAGGAGCAGGGGTCTGAGGACCTGTAGTCCTGAAGGAGCAGGGGTCTGAGGACCTGTAGTCCTGAAGGACCAGGGGTCTGAGGACCTGTAGTCCTGAAGGAGCAGGGGTCTGAGGACCTGTAGTCCTAAAGGAGAAGGACCTGTAGTCCTGAAGGAGCAGGGGTCTGAGGACCTGTAGTCCTAAAGGACCAGGGGTCTGAGGACCGGGGCCCTAAAGGACCAGGGGTCTGAGGACCTGTAGTCCTAAAGGACCAGGGGTCCGAGGACCTGTAGTCCTGAAGGAGCAGGGGTCTGAGGACCTGTAGTCCTAAAGGACCAGGGGTCTGAGGACCGGGGGCCCTAAAGGACCAGGGGTCTGAGGACCTGTAGTCCTAAAGGACCAGGGGTCCGAGGACCTGTAGTCCTGAAGGAGCAGGGGTCTGAGGACCTGTAGTCCTAAAGGACCAGGGGTCTGAGGACCGGGGCCCTAAAGGACCAGGGGTCTGAGGACCTGTAGTCCTAAAGGACCAGGGGTCCGAGGACCTGTAGTCCTAAAGGAGCAGGGGTCCGAGGACCAGGGCCCTAAAGGAGCAGGGGTCAGAGGACCTGTAGTCCTAAAGGAGAAGGACCTGTAGTCCTAAAGGAGCAGGGGTCCGAGGACCTGTAGTCCTAAAGGAGCAGGGGTCCGAGGACCTGTAGTCCTAAAGGAGCAGGGTTCCGAGGACCAGGGCCCTAAAGGAGCAGGGGTCAGAGGACCTGTAGTCCTAAAGGAGAAGGACCTGTAGTCCTAAAGGAGCAGGGGTCCGAGGACCTGTAGTCCTAAAGGAGCAGGGATCCGAGGACCTGTAGTCCTAAAGGAGCAGGGATCCGAGGACCTGTAGTCCTAAAGGAGCAGGGGTCCGAGGACCTGTAGTCCTAAAGGAGCAGGGGTCCGAGGACCTGTAGTCCTAAAGGAGCAGGGGTCCGAGGACCTGTAGTCCTAAAGGAGCAGGGATCCGAGGACCTGTAGTCCTAAAGGAGCAGGGGTCCGAGGACCTGTAGTCCTAAAGGAGCAGGGGTCCGAGGACCTGTAGTCCTAAAGGAGCAGGGGTCCGAGGACCTGTAGTCCTAAAGGAGCAGGGATCCGAGGACCTGTAGTCCTAAAGGAGCAGGGGTCCGAGGACCTGTAGTCCTAAAGGAGCAGGGTCTGGGGCCCGGGGCCCTAATGGACCAAGGGCCTTCACCTCTGGTCCTCTGTAGATCTATTTCCCAGAGTTCCTCCTGATAACTTGTCAGCCGAATGAATTTAGTTTCTCAGAAGCAGCTGGATCTGATCCAGATGTTCAGACCCTGGAGAGAAACTTTTCTCCGTTATTTGATCGTTTTTCCTGAACCTCCACTAAACGTTTTCTGCTGCAGGAGAACATGAGCTGAGTGTTGCTGGGTGGGTTCTGATGGAACCATCTGCTGGTGTTTGGCAGGAAGGTGATGGAGCAGAGGGATCAGGTCTATGAGAAGATGTCGCAGTACCTGCAGCTGAAGAACACCATCCAGAGCCTGCAGGTAGAGACGCCGCCATCAGACACTCAGCTTTGGTCAGGAGGTAGAAACCAGGCGCTGGAGCAGATGATCCCCGCTGCTTTTATTCCCACTAGATCAAATTAAAGAATTCAGAAGGATTTTTAATTTTATAAACGTTTAGCCTCCATCAGCAGAGCAGCTCCCCATCATTCAGACTCTAAAAAGAAACAACCTCATTTGGCTCTTTGGAAACCTCATTTATATTGTTTGTTTATTCTTTTTCGTCATGATAAAAAAAAAAAATGGTGTTTCTGCGTAACGTGGCGACGCACAAACAGGCTCACACATTCTGAGGTGAATAACTGATCAACGCTGCGTGATCATCAGGTAACTATGATGATCACGCAGCCCTGAGGGGAAGAAAAGACCAGATTTAAAAACTTTATTATAATTATATTTTTATCCTGCTTTGTAGTCCAGGGCAGAATCATAAGTTATGCATCAGCTGTGGGAAAACTGAGCTAAACTCGCCAAAAAACACAAAGTTTGTCAATTTGTCTCTAATCGCTATTTTTTTTAAAAAGGTCACTAGCGGCGTCCCTGAATGTGGCGAAAAATTAGCTAAGGGAGGAACCCTGCCATTTTTTTTTAAATAAGTGCATTTGTTCTTGGATTGAGGAGGTAAAAGAGACATTTTACCGATGGAACAAGATGATTTACATTTAAAATAAGAAAACACAACTGCATTGTCTTATTTCGAGTGTATTTTATCTAATTATCTTATTTAAAGTCTAAAAATATTAATTCCATTAGCAAACTATCTGATTTACCTGCTCAAATTAAGGGTAAATACACTTAATTTAAGACATGTTTACTTATTTCTTGATCATTTTTCCAGTGTATCTATTAAAAATGTAGGAAATTAATAAAAATGGTAGAAAGAATGTAATTCTAGATTTTATTGCAGAAGGCAGAAATTATGGGTGAAAATCTGAAGACAAAATGGAAGGCTAATTTGATTTAAATGATAAAATAAAGGATCATAAATACCACCTACAAACCTTTTTTGGTGGAAAATGAGGGAATTAGGCGCCTTTTTCCGTCCCTAAAGCATCCCTGGTGATGCTGTTTGATTAATAGAAGAACAGAAAATGATTAAAACAAGAGAGCTGTGCTCTGTTTGAAATCCTGGGACGCGTCCTCAGAAGGACAGATTCGAAGGACGATTACGTCATAGCGCGGCGCCGAGGTCTGGTCGGATTCCAAGAGTCCTCGTTATGCGGCCTTAAAATGCGTCCTCCTTTTTGCCCGATTTGAAGGACGGGTCTGATGTATCCTCGGTATTCTTGGATATCCCAGGATTCATTGCGAGACCAAGCAAGCTGTGATCAGAGGAAAGGTTACTTGGCGCCGAACAGTGGTGAAAATCGGAAGTTCAGTTTAATATAATCCAGTCAGTGAATAGTTCCGTCTGAAATGAATGAAAATAGTTATTTTAATGGTTATAGAGTCAGATATGTGGCGGTAATGTTTGATTTATCTAAAGGTTTTTATCTGTTACTGTGTAAATGGGTTTGGCTGTAATTTAAGGACAGATTCTAATAGATCTGCAGGGTGGGGACTATAAATCTGATAGGATTTTTATCTTTTTATTGCTGTTTTGCACAATTTGCTTAACTACATTTTTGTTGTTGAATATTAGAGATTTTGCAGATATATTTTTTATAAATACATTGTTTAGATTTACTTATATATTTCTAACCCTTTTATAGAATAGAATAGAAAATCCCTTTATTTTCCCACAATGGGCAAATTTACAGCAGCAGAAAGATTATTGAAAATAGTCACACAAATGTGGACCTTAGAAAAATGTATAAGAATAACATAATAGGGAAGAGTTAAAATATGAACAATATAATTCTGTAAAGTGTTTTAACAATATAAAACTGGAGAATTAATAACCAATATGCAGCTATGGACATTTTTACAATAATGGATATTTGAAAATAGCAGCAACATCAGAGATGTGCAGAATGACAGCAGCAGGTTATTTAACTGACTAAGGTTTCTATCATTATATTTGATTTTATTTGTTCCTGCTGCCGGTGGTTGGAACCTTTATTCCACTCTGGATTCTTGTGAGTCTTTGTTCACTTTATAATAAAAAAAGAAATAAATAAACTAACAGTTATGAAAACTTCGGTTTTCATTTTTTTCCTGCTTTGTGTGTCAACTTTCACGGTTGCTAAGCAACAGAGCTTACGGTGGTAAAACCTGCCCAAGGGTAGACCTGTTCGAATTCACAGCCAAAACTCTTCCAGTCTCCTTATTTTCACGGACTTGGAAGAATCCAGTCCAGGTAGACCGCGTCCTTGGAGGATGCAGTCTAGGATTTCAAACAGCGCTATAGTCTCTAAAACAGACATGGCTACGGCTTGATGCTAACATGTTTGTTAGCTGTCTGAATTCTGAGATTAAAGTCAGAATTCTGACTTTTTTCTCATATTATACTGGAATAAAATTTAAATTTTCCCCCAGTGCCCCTCATCCTGTTCCGTATAAAATATCTTAACTTCCTGATCCACCATCAGCTCATGTTCAATACATTCATCCAAGTGTCCATAAATAATCTAATCATCGTACTAAAACAACAATCTGATGTCCAGATGGAGACAAACTGTAAAGCTGCTTTTTACCAATAGCTAAATGTTTTGTTGATGTCTGGAAAACAAGATGTGTTACCTAGCAACCACAGCAGAGCTTTACCACGGCATTCTGTTCAATGGCCGTCCCAGCCATGATGATCTCAGCATCATCGCCAAAGCAGAATGTTCAATCGCGTCACGCTGAGAGGAAAATGATTCATCAAGCTGAGAAACTGCTCGCTGCACCTTTGCTGATGATGCAAGGAACTCCTTTCCCTGACCTGCCGGCTCTAAGTCAGTCAGAAATGGACAGTTTGCATCTGTTTGCAGCCATTCTCACTGAATAAGGACTAAACTGGCGGTGTGGTCATCTACAGGAAACAATCTAAGAAGGTGCTTTCTCATTATTTTGTGCAAAAATATATTTTTTAAGCTCATACAGCTGTCCCAAATTTGTTTAAAATTAATTGCAGCTCTGATGTGGAGGTTTGTAGAAAGACCCAGACTAGTTGTTTGCTGGTGAAGATTCTCAGTCATCCAGGTCAGTCATTCAAAAAAATGTAAAATCAATCCACTGGACTTTGTTTCCCAGTTTGAAGACGTTTCTCTTCCATCCAGGAAGATTTTTGAATTCTAAATGTCAGAAATAACGTTTAGTTCCAGGTTTTATCCAGCAGCCCAACAAAGCCTGGTTTTAGTTTAGAAAACATGCAAATAGAAACGGATGAACGGGTCCCCCCCTTTGGAATGGGGGTAGTTTGGCTTCTTTGTTAGCCTGCAATGCCCCATACCTGTCTGTCTCTGAAAGGGGGGGTCGTTAGAGGGAATAGTTGGCCTGGCTGAACAGGTGAGGTCTTCTGTTCTCCTGTAAAGTTGTTTTTTCTTAACAAAGATGGCTTCCTTCACTCAAACTTAACTCCATTTCTGAATTTTGAATTGAAAAAGCTTGAAAAGTTCTTTCCCTGGATGTGACGCGAAACCTTCAGACTTGAGGAAAAAAGTTAATTAGATTGTTTTTAACTTTTTTGGATGACTGATAATCTTTACCAGCATATGGTACTAAAAGTACTTACATCTATCCTTAACTCACTACAGAATGCTAATACGTATCTTTTTTTATTGTTTTATGATGTTTGTGAGACAATTTTGATGCTTTTTACATTTTCTTCATTAAACAGCTTCTCTGACGTCATCAGACATGCTCAGGTTAGCCTGACTAACTATGATTAAACCATGTTTATCTGCATTTTACTTATTTCTTTCTGTAAATTACGCACTTTATGCCACAAGGTTCACGAGAAAGGAAAAACTTTAACTCAAAAAGACTAGATTTATGTTCAAGTCCAAAGCTAGATCAGTTAGCTCCTGGGAGTAGCATAGGGTCCCATTTCCGGTGCAGAAAAGTGATTAAAAAAAAAGAATTTAAATGCATTTATTATCTCAGAAAATACATTATTAAACTTTAACAGGTTATATTTTAGTACACTTACTATTTTTAGGGAGGGGAAAATGTAATTTAGGTCTTTTTTACAAAATAAAACCGAATTGACCCGGATGTATATCTGGATGGGCCGATGAGCTGATGGTTCGGATCCGGTAGCGACAGCGAGAGCCGCTCTCTGTAGCCTCCAGCTTCACAGACAGGAAGTGACACAATTGGTTTTTCAAAATAAAATAAATATGAATATTTCATTATATTTAATTCATTTTAAACTCTGTTTTTCACTAAAATAAACACTCAGATATACAGATGGCATTATGCTATTCTTTACATTGTTTTAACATATTTTTGTTGGCGTTTCTAAAGGTGCTGAGGCTTTTATTTTGCTGAGGCTGGGCGCCACGATCAATTCTATACAGTTTATTTCTATAGCTCCAATTCCCATCATGTCATCTCAAGGCACATTATAGAGACAATTCCACCAGATCATCCAGTCAGATTGTTTAAAAGTTTTCTGAGGAAAACCTGCTGATTGCATCGACTCTTCAGCAATCCCTCACACTAAGCATGCTTGCAGCGACAGTGGAGAGGAAAAACTCCCTTTGAACAGGAAGAAACCTCCAGCAGAACCAGGCTCAGTGTGAGCGGCCATCTGCTGAGGCCCACTGGGGTTCAAGGAGACAGAAGCAGACATAGAAAAAGAAGCATAGATAAAATTCAATTAAAAAAAGATCAATTAAATGTCAGTGCTCGGGATGTCGAGGTACAACTTCTGTCATTTTAGTATGAAGTGATTTTTAAATCAGGGAGCAATAGTCAACGTTGTTTTATTGTCATTAGAAGTTAGAAATATTTTTTTAATAGAAATAAAATCCTAGAAAAGCACAAACCACTGCATCAACTCAAGTGCTGTTGCTGCTGTACTGCCATCTGCTGGTGTGATGCGGTACAACGGGGAAATAAAAGGAAAACCGCAACCAGAAGCTGAAGCTCATACTAAGTGATCTGTGACAATGACACAAATAGAACTCTCACAGTTCATGTTTAATATTCTAATATTTATTTTCATCTCAGTCAATAAAATGTTTTTCTAATTCTAGTTTTCTTAGTTCAGGTGATGATAACCATCTTACATCGATGGATCAGTTTATCATGAGGCGTTTGAGGTGCAGGGCGACATATTCAGGTGTTTTTTTTTTTTTTTGATGATGTCAGACTGCTAATATCAGTGATGTCACTGTGACATCACTGCGTGTTCCTGCAGGAGGCGAGCTCGGAGCAGCTGAAGGCCGACGTCGACCTCGGCTGTAACTTCTTCGTTCAAGCCCACGTGTGAGTTCCTCCCTCCTGCTGTGAAACGGAGCGACGGCGGCGTGGAGCCGGACCGCGCTGCAGCAGCCGCTCTCTGCACGTTTCAGGTCCGGTTCAACGCTTGGTTCTTATTGGCTCTTTTCTTCTCGTCAGCGCCGACCCATCCAGGATCTTTGTGGCGGTGGGATTCGGGTTCTTCGTGGAGATGACGCACGATGAGGCGCTGCGATTCATCGACAAGAAGACGACTCAGCTGTCAGCGTGGGTTCATCATCACCATGGAAACGGCGATGAAATCGCTTTTTTTTTCTCTTAGGATTATAACCTAAAATATAAATTGGGAAAAAAATTAACAATATTTTCTAAAATACGTTGAAATGTAAAAATGCTGCAGGTAGAGCTCTGTTGGGTTAGCTCCATGCTAGCAGTATCCATGCATTCTAATGAAAGATGCTAATCCGGCTAACTTTGCGCCCGTTTTCTTTTGCAGCTTCACTGAGCAGCTCACCAAAGACTCCGCCAAAATAAAAGCGCACATCCGCATGGTGCTGGAGGTCAGTATCTGCTGTCCAGAACCATGGCTGGGTCAGCACCGGCTTGGTTCTGATCCGTTTAAGCATAAGGGGGAGGGGTTTAAAGCAGGACGGACAGCTCTGATTGGCTGAGCTCTTCTTCTCTTCAGGGTCTGAGGGAGCTGCAGGGGCTGAGCGACCTTTCAGAGACGCAGAGGAGAGACGTTTTCTAGGATTCCCACATGATGGAGATGGGTGGAGGTTCTGCTGGATGCCTGATGAACAGAATCTGACCGGAGGAGGAGGAGGAGGAGGAAGGAGCTCCTCATTAGGAGAGAAGCGTCTCCTTTCCTGAACACTTAGCAGGAGCAACTTCTCAGATGTGGAAGGAAGCCATGGCGTCGCCTATGATGTCACATCCTGTTGGTGCTGCTCACACAGGAAGTCATCTGCCCAGCTGAGACTTTTCAAAATAAAGCGACTTTAAAAAGTCTGGGGATTTCGAACCAATGAACCTCTTTATTCCAGAATAAGTGATGAAAGGAGAACATTCTCTACTTTCTCTACTATTTTTATTTTTATTTTAGTTTTTGTTTATTAAAGACTTGGATTATTTCCCTGGGTTGTTTTCGTCCCATTTTTTGATGTTTTTACCACTATAAGTCCTTTTTAGGGCTGTTTGTGACCCTTGGCAGAAGATGATGACCTGGTTGGTTCCAGTTAGCTGCTGCTGCAGTCAGATTCAATGGTTGAAAAGTTTCTACTTTAACATTAAGACCCAATTATTAGCTTGTTTTTGGATAAAGTCATTATTCAGGTCAATATTCAGCACTTGGTGTGTATCTATGCTCCATGCTGGCTGCTCAAAAACTCATTTATTTAACTTGAGAACATGAGATCTGTCACTGAATGGGTCATGTGACCCCGAGCGTCAATTATGAATGTTTAATCTCACCTAAAACACCAGAGCTAACCAAGCTAAAGGCACCAAAACAGTTCAGATCATTAACTTATCCGCCATATTTCTGCTTCCTTGTGTCAGATTTATTCTAGATCTACAAGGAACTCCATTAGTTCTCAATCTAATGGTCCAAACTGATCTAGAAGAGATCTAGAGATTAATTTTTAAAGGAAAAGTCCGCTCATATTCAGAATTCAAACTTCTGTACTTTAAGAACTTATTAGACACTTCAATAAATAATTCAGAGTAATTTTCATGTGAATGTGCTTTACCGGAGGCATCCATGTTTGTCAAAGAACACTACTGCCACCTACTGGTTAGTGACGTCACGGTGCGGTATCGGCTGTTGATCAAGTCCCAGTGCTGTATCTGGTGTTTGTCACAACGCGCTATTATCCAAGTCATCTTGAAAACATTCTTCTTCCAAATGTTGGCTACATATTACGGGTTTTTTCTCTGGCCAGAAGTTCGATGGCAAATCCTCCCTCTTCAAGTTGGCGATCCAACGACCAACCCGTCCGTGGAGGATCGATCTTTTCTCACACGTTTTACCATGTGGCTTAAAGATCTCCCCACAGCCACTTAGCTAGCAGTGAAATAGAAGGTCTGGAAGTGAAGCTAAAATAAATGTTCCCTGCTACAATAACCCCAACCAATCACAAAACCCGTTCCATCGTACACGATTGATTCCTGACACGTCAATCATGGTCGTCTTCTTGTCCCTCCCCCCTGTGCGCGTACCCTGACACATTAAAGAAATCGACCACCCAATGCTGGTGCAGGACGCCATGGCTGGAAGCTAGCCACTGTTATGCTACGTTCACACCTAAAGCAGCAGGAGCAGCAAAAACGCGCGTCCTGCTTCATTTTAGATGCTTGTAGAAATGTAGTTCTGATGCGCTGCTGAAGCATCTTTGCTGCTCTAGCTTCACGGTGGAAAAGAGGGTTTGATGCGTGGTGGGCGGAGCTACTCTATCCTTTCTCTGCCTGGAACAATGGCAGCTATATTAGCTGTGATCAGCGGGTAGAAAGTAGTTAGAATCTATGTTGAAGTGAGAAAGTCCTCCTGAAAACATGGTCTGTGCAGTCAGTTCATCCAGATTACCATCCTGCCTTCAAAGATTATTTCTCTGTGGGAGCCGCTCAGACCCCCACATACCGGCGCTGCGCTGTCACTGGGAATCCCCAGCAGCAGCTGCCTCAGGCCCGCTCGCCTCTTCAAGGTTTTCCACGGCGGCTGGAAGGCTTTTTTAATGTATGTAATCCAAACAGCAGGCACCAGGATAATAAAAGCGAACATATTCTGCCGGCAAATTTTCGCATTTTAAATAATTTAGACGTTAACAAACTGTTTCAGAGGAGTGATCATAGCGCTCTGCATCAGCAGTGCTGTGTCTGACTCCCTGCCAGCTCCCAGATCAGCAACGCGCTGCAGACAGCAGACATGTTCATTTAGTTTGAAGGCGTGGTCTTTAGGGAGAGGCATGGTTGTGTATGTTCAAAAATATAGCTTGCTGGAACTGTTTTTCCAAGGTCTCCTACTGCACCTTTAAATCACCGCGAACGTACAGGTGCTGGTCATAAAATTAGAATATCATGAAAAAGTAGATTGATTTCAGTAATTCCATTTAAAAAGTGAAACTTGTATATTATATTCATACATTACATACAAACTCATATATTTCAGATGTTTATTTTGTTTAATTTTGATGATTACAAATGACAACAAATGAAAATCTCAAATTCATCATATCAGAAAATTAGAATATTGTGAAAAGGTTCAAAATTGATGGCCCCTGGTGCCACACTCTAATCAGCTAATTAACTCAAACCACCTGCAAAAGCCTTTAAATGGTCTTTCAGTCTAGTTCTATAGGCTACACAATCATGGGGAAGACTGCTGACTTGACAGTTGTCCAAAAGACGACCATCGACACCTTGCACAAGGAGGGCAAGACACAAAAGGTCATCGCTAAAGAGGCTGGCTGTTCACAGAGCTCAGTGTCCAAGCACATTAATAGAGAGGCGAAGGGAAGGAAAAGATGTGGTCGAAAAAAGTGTACAAGCAAGAGAGATAACCGCACCCTGGAGAGGATTGTGAAACAAAACCCCTTCAAAAATGTGGGGGAGATTCACAAAGAGTGGACTGCAGCTGGAGTGAGTGCTTCAAGAACCACCACACACAGACGTATGAAAGACATGGGTTTCTGCTGTCGCATTCCTTGTGTCAAGCCACTCTTGAACCACAGACAGCGTCAGAAGCGTCTTGCCTGGGCTAAAGAGAAACAGGACTGGACTGCTGGTGAGTGGTCCAAAGTCATGTTCTCTGATGAAAGTAAATTTTGCATTTCCTTTGGAAATCAAGGTCCCAGAGTCTGGAGGAAAAGAAGAGAGGCACTTCATCCACGTTGCTTGAAGTCCAGTGTAAAGTTTCCACAGTCAGTGATGGTTTGGGGTGCCATGTCATCTGCTGGTGTTGGTCCATTGTGTTTTCTGAGGTCCAGGGTCAACGCAGCCACATACCAGGAAGTTTTAGAGCACTTCATGCTTCCTGCAGCTGACCAACTTTTTGGAGATGCAGATTTCATTTTCCAACAGGACTTGGCACCTGCACACAGTGCCAAAGCTACCAGTACCTGGTTGAAGGACCATGGTATCCCTGTTCTTAATTGGCCAGCAAACTCTCCTGACCTTAACCCCATAGAAAATCTATGGGGTATTGTGAAGAAGAAGATGCAATACACCAGACCCAACAATTCAGAAGAGCTAAAAGCCACTATTAGAGCAACCTGGGCTATCATAACACCTGAGCAGTGCCACAGACTGATCGACTCCATGCCACGCCGCATTGCTGCAGTAATACAGGCCAAAGGAGGCCCAACTAAATACTGAGTGCTGTACATGCTCATACTTTTCATGTTCATACTTTTCAGTTGGCCAACATTTCTATAAATCCTTTGTTTTTATTGGTCTTCAGTAATATTCTAATTTTCTGATATGATGAATTTGAGATTTTCATTTGTTGTCATTTGTAATCATCAAAATTAAACAAAATAAACATCTGAAATATATGAGTTTGTATGTAATGTATGAATATAATATACAAGTTTCACTTTTTAAATGGAATTACTGAAATCAATCTACTTTTTCATGATATTCTAATTTTATGACCAGCACCTGTATTAGTTTTAGGTATAAATAATGATCGATTAATTATTCCTTGCTTATTGGACTTCTCCTTTAAATACAAGTCGCAATATTATGAAAATAAAGTCATAAAATTACGAGAATAAAGTTGTTTTTTTATGACAACTCTTACCAGAAACATCATCTTCGACCATCTTGTGAAGTTATACTTTGACATTAGTTTCACAAATAAGGAAATCTTAAGTATTTTAGAACCTTATCAAATTCTTATCAGAATCAGAACTTTGAAATGACAAGTCGCCTAAGTCTGCATGGAAGAACGCTTAAAACTTTCTTTCCGAAACAGGTTTGATGACTTCATTCTCACAATTTTACATTTTATTCGTGTAATTTTATAACTTTGTTCTCATAACATTAAGACTTTATAATGTTACAACATTATTCTTTCTTCTTGTATAAAAACGGTAATACTCCTTCATAAGAACCCAGAAGAAGCTGGTTCAGTTACTGCAGTGCTGCCAGTGGCCTGCAGGGGGCGCAGAGTCTGGACCTTACAGGTCTAGTGCCCCTAGTGGCTAAAAGTCACGTAGTGCTGCTTTAAGGAAAATCGCTGATTAAGATATTTTCAATTTAGAAAAAAAAAATCTTTTCAAATGTTTAGATTACTTGTTTTTAATATTTAACATCTAAACTTTTTTTTTATTTGGTCATTTTTAAATATGATATCAGTAAATAGGATTTATACTTAAAAACTTTTTTTCACAGATTTTATATTTTAGAACTGAATCATGTTGACCTGTTTAGAATCCTAAAGTCTGGTAATCCACCCTGCGCTGTCAGCTGCTCTCAGATTGATGCTCCAGCACACGGAGCCTGTTTCCATGGTAACGGGCTGCTGAATGAGGCGCTGAGAGGCTGAGAGAGAAAGAAGCAGCTTTTATTTTCTGTTTGGCTCTCAGGTTGATTTGCATGAAAATGGGCAGAAAAGAGTCGAACCAGAACTCCGCCATCATGGTTCTGGTTCTGCCGGCCCAGTCTGAACACATCTGGGTCCTCCTCCTGTAACCTGCCAGATGTTGGTTCATCCTCTACTTTACATTGAATTTATTATTTATGCTCTGACCTTTATTTTAAAAGTGCTTTTAGAAATAAAGGTGTTTTTTATGCTCATTGTTTTTATCATTTAAATCAAAGGTGCCTTTATTTGATCTTTTCAGATTTTCACCAATGATTTCTGCCTTCTGCAGTAAAGTCTAGAATTATGTTTTTTCTACCATTTTTAGTAATTTCTCGCATCCTTTTTAGATAGCTATTTATTCTAAATATATGTTTAAGGCCAATGTATTGATTAATATTCTATTTTGTGTTATTTCTGGGTTATTTTAAGTTTGCATTTTTAGGACCTTCTTCGTTCCAGATGGATCTAAAGTCTGGGATGTTTTCAGCGCCGCCATCTTTAAGTGGAGTTAAACCCTGCAGCTCTGTCCTTTCTGCTGCCTTGCTCTGCGGCTCCTCGGTAACGTCTCCATCCAGTTGCCGCAGAAACAACATCGCGTCATTTGCGTGGTACTAGCCGGAAACAGCGCTAAAGCTGAAGCCCTTCACAATAAAGGTCCGTGTTGTCCACCTTACTTCTCTCTGGCTGTTTGTTTTACTCCTCTTTTTTTATTTTTTTTTCCTATTTGGCTTCCTTTCATGAATGGGCTAAATGCCCAACTACAAAACTTCAATTCTATTCAGTTTATTTCTATAGCGCCAATTCACAAAACATCTCAAGGCTCTTTACAGATACAACCAGATCATCCAGTCAGATTGTTTAAAAGTTTTCTATCTAAGGAAAACAAGCTGATTGCATCGACTCATTGACTCTTCAGCAATCCCTCACACTAAGCATACTTGCAGTAACAGTGGGGAGGAAAAACTCCCTTTTAACAGGAAGAAACCTCCAGCAGAGTAATTTCACTGACTGTGTGTGAGATCCAGATCCAACCACAACAGAAAGACTTCCTATTGGTGGTTATATAAAGGACACTTCACCTTAATCATCCTTGTGTTAATCTAAGTACATATAAACAGACTGGAACTACATCTCCCAGCATGCACTGCAGCTCAGAGATTACAATCACAGCTTTGGACCTTTTACTTTTATCTTTAAACCTGTAGATTCTGTTTGAACAGAAGTTGTTTCTCCTTTCATTTTCCCAGTGCGCAAATCCAATCTCAATTTCCCCAAAAATTTCATTATTTATGTTTTACATCATGTGGGAATACTATCTATACTTGATTTCCATTTAGATAACCAATTTTAACCAATTAAACGCTACTTCCTGAACGTCAGCCAGTTCCTTTGGTTTTCTGTCTTTGTCTGCCCTATGATGTCATGGTAACTTTCTTTGATCTCTAAATTACATTTTTTTTTTATTAATCTGGTACTAGTTTTCCATTTTGAGTGAGGCTGTTTTTTTCACACATAACACCGTTCCAAGTCTTCCTCCTCTTCCTCCTCCTCCTGAAGCTCCTCCTTGTTTCCCGGCCTCCTCTCTGATCACTATCCAGTTCATCTCATGTTTTCATTCCTCCACATCGGCTGGAATTTTAGGTTTGTTACTCCTAGCAGGTATAAAGTGGTTATGAACCCATGTATCCGCTGCAATATTGAACTAAAAGCTAGCAGGGGCGGATTTAGGGAATTTGGGGCCCAAGGCAAAAAACAGGCAGAGGGCCCTTTGAATGTAGAAGACAGCATATAAAACAGACCCGTTATACAGATAGAGGTATTTTAATAGAATAGACATCCATTATTTGTTCTATGTTTTGGCAATACTAGGCATACAACTTCCTGGGGGGCCCATAAAACTCTGTTTACAGGTATGGTTAATACAACTATTCCTTATTTATTCAAATTAATTATGTTTTTGATAAAAAATGCCATCAGAAAGCTTAATATATTAAGCTATATTTAGAGACTTTTCAGACCCCTCTAGCACTTTGATTTCAAAAATCTGCTTAACGCCAAATCTAGCGACTTTTTTCTGCTACTGGAGACTTTGGAGACAACATCTAAAAGCAGCGAACTCTGCTCTCCAGAGCAAGTAGATTGGTAACCCCGCCTCCTGCTCTCCTCTATCTTGTCTGCTGTCATGATTCATGCAGCTATTATTTCATCCAAATGAAAAATGGAGAACAGATAAGCAGATCATGGCTTGTCTACAGTGAAAAGAAGGACTGGGTTATTTACTTTGGCCTTTTTGGAAACACAGGAAGGAGCAATCAGCTAAGTGAGCTTAGTGCTTGGAAAAAATCTTTCATTCCTTTAGAGACAGCATGAAAAGTCAGCTGAGTATAAAACATAGAGAGGAAAACAAGAAGAAAAGGGACAAGAAGAGAGGGACACAACCTAGAACAGATAATGGATGTCTATTCCCTTTAGAATATTTAGCAAACCGCGCCTGAATTTGGGCAGCTTTTATTTTGAAAGTCTCCACCGGAAGCCCGCACCTCTCCTGCGGTTAGCCTGACTGAAGCGATTAGCAGCGAGGAGGTAAACAGGAACAAAGTAGGAAAAACTCTCTGGAGTTCGGTCGTTACTCCAGAACCGCTGTTTGGACCTTTGCTCGCTACTTTTCCTCCGCATCGAAGGATCTTTGAAGGTTCCGGAAGTTCTGTGGATGATTCCGGTCTGAGAGGCGCGAGGACTAACAAACTACAATAGATGAAGCTAAGCTAAGAGGCTAGGCTAACAGCTCCTGCAGAAACTAATAGTCTCATTTAGTTTTTAAATATTATTCGGTTTTAGTGACGGGGAACATAGGCTAGTTAATTGTTGGATTTATTTGTTTTTATCTTTGTCGGACTAACAGCGTTTAGCAGCAGGTTTATCGGCGCTAGAAGAAGAGCTGAGCTCGGATTCATCCAGAACCACCAGGCGGGGAGTTCTGCTGGGTTCGGCGGTTCTGTTGGTCCTTCCTGGACGAGCTGGTCTGACAGGGTAGTTAGCATGGAGGCTGCGGAGCCTGGCCGCGGGAACTTGGAGCGGTTACATAACGCCTGCAGGTCGGCAGAGAAGCTGTTGAACGTCTCCTCCTCCTCCACCTCCTCCTCCTCCTCCTCAGCCTCGCTGTGACGGTTCTGCTCACAAACAGCCTCTTCAGACCATCAGCAAGCAGACGGCCGCAGCATGGAGGGGCTGTGAGCCCGCAGAGAGCCAGCAGGCTGATCCCGCTCAGACCATGGAGTCCAACCCGCTGATTAACGGTGAGCCGCAGCTTCTGCAGGTCAGCAACAGGTGGGGGAGCCGCTGAGGGCCTGCAGCGGCTCCCCTCCGTTGTGCCATGCTGGTCTGGACCTGAATCCATTCTGCAGCTTGTTGAAACCTGCAGAGGACTGAACAAAACCTGAAAAGGTTCATTTGGTGTTTTAACAAAAGCTGCCAAATGTTTGCATAAAGTCACAGATGAATAATCTGATTTAATAAAGGAAAAACTTCCTGTCATTAAAACAGTGAATAAGATTAATCATCTTGCTTATAAAAGTCTGTGTTGATGTGGTTTAATGTCAGGAGGCCTGTGGAGCTGCAGCTGGAAGATGATCCAGTTTGTTCCCACAGCCGTCAGTCAGCAGGGTCACTTTCCTGTCTGCTGTCTGACCCGCTTTCTGATGGGTTCTTTAATCACACAGAAAGTTCTGATGCAGACCGGAACCTCTCCTCCGGTTGGACCCTGTCCCTCTGTCCACTGGGTGGACAGGGTGTCCATACCGTCCTTTGGTTCTGCTTCAAAATCCTGTGGTTCTGATTAGCTGATTAAAAACTTTCAGTTTCAGATCTGTGATGTAATACTAGCACGTTACCATGACGACTGTGACGCACCGAGTCAGGTTGTGAGATATGATGTGACGCTGATGTACCAGAAAGCTGGCGGTACCAGCGGGTCTGAAGGTGCCAGCTGGGTCGGCTTATGGTCCAAACTAACAGCTGGGTCTGTGGTTCTGGAGCCTGCAGGTCAAACCGGGTCGGTCAGAATCTGACACGCAGATGGGGCGGTCCAGTTCAGCGGTCTCAGGTGTGGTTCCAGTCTGTGTTTTCAGCTCAGTGAACCGGGACCTCCTGCCTCCGTCGCCATGCTGTCACCTTCTGTCTGCGCTGATTCTCGCTTCGGTTTCCTGAGGTCCGGTTCTGATACCGGAATCCCACAGCGGCTGGGCTGTTTAAATATTCTCAGGTGCCCAATCCACCAGAACCATTTAGGTTCCCCAGAAGGGCAGATATTAGGGTTCCAAGTTACAATGACTGAAGAGGATTTCTGGTTTCAAAGCGTTTCTTAAAATGTTTTTTGTTCCTCAAAAAGTGTCTGAAACATTAGAGATCAATCGTGATCCCATTATTGTAATAATCCTCTGCTGAGTTGATAAAGGAAAAGTCCGGTCAGCGAGGAATAATCAATGGATCATTATTTATACCTTAAACTAATGCGTTCGTAGTGATTTAACAAATTTAGTGTTAATCAGTAAAAAAATAAAATAATCATTTTCGTTGCAATCACTGAGTCTGGGAGCGGCCATTTTTGCCCAAATATATCCTCCTGTTAGTTGTGGGGTTCCTCAGGATCGTGTATTTAGAGCCTTGGTGTTTGTGTGGTTCTGCTGCCTTTGGATCCGTTTTAGGAACAATTATTGTTCTCTTTCGTTGCTTTGCAGATGTTATGAGTAATATTTACTTATTCAGTTTGGCTTTAAAGGAAAAGTCAGCAGGAATAATCAATGGATCATTATTTATACCTTAAACTAAAATGTTTGCGGTGATTTAATGAATTTAGCGTTAATCGGTAAAAAAATGATAACAATATTTTTCGTTGCGATCACCGAGTCTGGGAGCGGCCATTTTTGCCCAAATATAGTAGCCCCTCCCTCCTGCCATCTTCCAGCAGTGACGTCACGGTGCGGTAAGCCTAGCGCCATTCTCCCCGCTTTCCAAGCTAAATCAATGGGAACTACTAGAAACATCTGCAATCAACAACAATTATTGAAGATTTCCAGAGGACTTCACCATTGAAATTCACCAGAGCTATAGAGAAACTGACAATGCCCACGTGCATGGCAGCTGGATGCTGGAATACATCGGGTAAAAGTGAAAAAAAAAGAGTTATTCCACCTTTCTGATTCCTGATCCTCCAGAGCACATCCAGCCAATCACAGTCAGAGAAACAGGACTACACTGAAAAAAACCCGTAATATGTAGCCAACATTTGGAAGAAGAATGTTTTCAAGATGACTTGGATAATAGCGCGTTGTGACAAACACCAGATACAGCACTGGGACTTGATCAACAGCTGATACCGCACCGTGACGTCACTAACCAGTAGGTGGCAGTAGTGTTCTTTGACAAACATGGATGCCTCCAGTAAAGCACATTCACATGAAAATTACTCCGAATTAAGAACACTGATCATTTATTGAACAGGATGTAGAAATAACTCCATTTCACTGTTTGTGCACGGAGCAGTTTGCCCACGACCAACTTAATTTGTTTGATTTTCTCCTGACCTTATGATTCCTGATGTGGTCGTTAGAGGCCGATCGCCCCTCGTTACCCCCTGTATACGACACGACGCACCGTCAAGCTGAAAATCGATTGAAAAATTCACGCATGACTGGAAAATCGGCCCTAAAAGGGCAAACGATCGTACAGTGTACGCCCGGCTTTAGGTTCCCCCTCATTAAAAGCAGACCCTGTAGAACCAAATGTTCAGATTATTCTCTAAAAGATGGCGACCTAACCTGTTCTCCATCCATATGGGCCCGTGTTTCCGGCCGACTCGCTGCGCCGATCAAGGTTGGATACCAGGATGGAACTTGGTTCTTTAGACGTTCCTTCGGGGTTCTGGTGGTAGGTCTGTGGCTACGTTCACATCGCAGCCTGAAGTCACCCAAATCCGATTTTTTTGGCCCATATGCGACCTGGATCTGGTCTTTTCATTGCAGTCTGAACAACACAGATCCAATTTGTTCCAATGCGACCCAGGCCACTTGGCTCTGTGGTCCTGAATCCGTTACTAATCGGATCTTTTCAAATGCGACCCGTGTCTGAGCGGCAAGGTCGCATTCATCCGACCTGAACGCCATTAATACCCAACAAAGGTCACTATTCTGCGTCTTGCTATGAAGAAGTGACAAGAAAAACAACAACCATGGCGGATGATGATGCAGAGAGCAGTATGTATGTTTAACCATCTTGAAACGATTCTGTTTTTAAGATTGGGAAAGATCGCTAGATGCGCTCTGGCACTACTATCAATGTTTACTGCCGTAAACAGAGAGCACGCTGGCTTGTGATGTCATTGCGTCCTCTTCTGCGCATGCGGGACGTTTGCGTTGTATGACGCATATATTTGGAAATGTGAACCACAAAGCAAACGAATCTGTTTTCACAAAAAAATATGAATTGAGTATCGAGGCCTGCAGTGTGAGCGTTGCCTAACGGACGTAACCTGTCTGTGTCTCTAAATCCTTCTCTGGTTCCTCCAGCCTTGGACCCCTCCATCACTCTGTGGCAGTTCCTGCTCCACCTGCTGGAGGACCAGCGCCAGCGGCACCTCATCTCCTGGACGGGGGAGGATGGCGAGTTCAAGCTGCTGGATGCTGAGGAGGTCGCCCGGCTCTGGGGGCTCCGCAAGAACAAGCACAACATGAACTACGATAAACTGAGCCGGGCGCTCCGCTACTACTACGACAAGGTTGGTTCTGCCTGCTGACCTCATCATAGACATGCATATAAGAGCAGACAGCGAAATTATCGCCACCATCTTGGGGAGGTCGACCTGCTCCCTTAACCTGCTGGTTTAAGCAGAACAGAAGAAGGATTCCTCAGAAATGTGCGGCGTGTTTTAGTTTGAATCGATGGATTGTTGACATCAGGGTTCGAGGGATAAATTAGTGAAGGAATCAGAGCTTTGGAAGAAATTACTGAATAAACTGCATATATATATATATATATATATATATATATATATATATATATAATCCCTTATTGTCCCAGAGAGTTAAAATTGTGTTACAGCTGCAAAATATTACTGCAAAAGAGATCACACCTTAAAAAGACCCTAAAAATGTCTAAAAATAACAGAGTGACAGTTAAAAAAAGTATTTTAAAAAAAATAAACAAATAAAATACTGTACATATAATAACATATAATCAATAGAGATTTTTTTTTTCGAGAATAAAGTCGTAACATTATGAGAATAAATATTACGACTTTTATTCCTGAAAAATAACAAGAAAAATAACGAGAATAAAGTCATCATATTCCAACCCGTTTCGGAAAGAAAGCTTGGAGCTCCGCCCAGCAGATGACGGTCGACCAGCTCCACCAATCAGCAACCAGAGTCCACTTTGACATCCTGCCCAGTTTGATGCTGCTGCTAAAAGATTTCCTGATTGGTCAAACCGATGCTAAAGTAGAACTTCACATGATGCTCCACATTCCTCATTTTAGGGAAGAAAGAGCCTTTTGGAAGAGTTGTAATAAAATATAACGAAAGTTACTACCGTAACTACGGTTCTATGAATCCCGGATGACCGCCAGAGGCGGTGCTTCAAGCACTGAATGATCATTCATGCGCATGCGCAGGTCGAGTATTAATGACAACAAAGTCAGCTGTGACCTGCCGGGGAGTCACGTGGCACCCGGCAATCAATCCCTCAATCTTCTCGCGAAAGCAGAGATTCCGAGGGACCAAGCACTCTGGCGGTCATCCGGGATTCATAGAACCGTAGTTACGGTAGTAACTTTCGTTCTATTTCAACCCTACTGACCGCCAGAGGCGGTGCTTCAAGCACTGGATGACTCATATCAACAAGGTCACGAGGAATCAGCAACATTCAAGGAACAACGACTACACCACCCACCTAATGTGATGTAGAGGCATGCTGCTCGAGGATTCCCTGAAGCGGATGGGGCGCAGCCACATTCACCCTGTAGAACCGAGTAAAGGTACTAGGTGATTTCCAGGAGGCCGCACGGCATATAACATCCAATGGCACCCCAGTCATAGCAGCAAACGATGTCGACATGCCCCTTGTAGAGTGGCATTTCACTCCCGCCGGCAGTGGCCGGTCCTGCAAGACATAAGCCTTGGAGATCAAATCCACAACCCAGTGTGCAAGTCGCTGCTTAGAAAGTGCCTGACCCTTCCGTGAGCCAGCGTAGCAAACAAAAAGGCTATTTGTCTTTCGGAAGGATGCCGTGGGATTGATGTATGTCTCAAGGGCACGAACAGGACACAGTGGTTCAGAGGGACTTCCGGAGTCAAACCGGGCAAGATGGAGAGGCTGGGTGCTGCCTGCTGGCAGTGATACCTTAGGAATAAATGCTACGTCAGCCCACAGTGTAACGCCTGAGCCATCAGGATTCCAGCGGCAGCAGGGTTCGTGATCGAGAGAGCCTGTAACTCCCCTACACGTTTTGCGGAAACCATAGCTAAAAGGAACGCAGTCTTCAGTGAGAGCCATTTGAGGTCCGCCGACGCCAGGGGCTCAAATGGGAGGGACCGAAGAGCCTCAAGCACAAGAGAAAGGTCCCACGCCGGTGCCACAGGGCGGTTGGGTGGGTGCAAACGCCGAGCACCTCTTAAAAACAGTACAACATCCTTGTCTCGGCCCACAGAACAACCATTCAGCCCAACATGCCAACAGGAAATGGCAGCCACATACACCTTTAAGGTAGATGGAGACCGTCCTTGATCCAGCAATGCCTGCAGGAAGGTCAGTATGTCAGAAACTGAACACTGCACTGGGTCCTGCCCTCTATCACGGCACCAGGTCGCAAAGACCGTCCACTTGTTAGCATAGACAGCTCGCGTGGACGGCGCCCATGCATTAGCCATTGTATGCCCTATGGACCCAGTGTATCTTGAGAAGGTGGACCCCGGCCTTGCAGGGGCCAAATCCAGAGCTGGAGCCGGTCCGGTTCGGGGTGCAAGATCTGACCCCCCATCTGGGAAAGAAGATCTCTCCTGGAGGGGAGACGCATTGGAGAGCCGGAGCTGAGCTCGCACAGTAAAGGAAACCAAGTCCTCGCTGGCCAGTAGGGGGCCACCAGCAGGACCCTGTGCCCCTCCTGACGTACCCTGAGGAGAGTCTGAAAAAGTAGGCTGAATGGCGGAAAGGCATAAAGGAGGGTCCGGGGCCAGTCGTGTGCCAGAGCATCGTGGCCCAGAGGGCTGCTGTTGTCCAACGAGAACCAAAGGGGACAGTGAAATGCGTCCCTTGAGGCAAAGAGGTCCACGTCCGCCCTGCCAAAGGCCTTCCAGATGCAGTCCACCACCTCTTGGTGAAGCTTCCACTCCCCTGGAAGCGGCTTCTGACGGGATAGAAAATCTGCTGGCACGTTCTCCGGCCCTGGGATGTAGGCTGCTCTGAGGCTGGCTATGCGTGGAGCTGCCCAGGTCAGAAGCCGTCGAGTCAAGCACAACAGTTTCCTTGACCTCGTTCCCCCCTGGTGGTTGATGTGAAAGACCACTGTGGTGTTGTCTGACCTCACCAGCACGTGCTTCCCCCGCAAGCCTGGAAGAAAGCTCTGAAGAGCCAGAAGTACAGCCTGTATCTCCAGGACATTGATGTGTTCCCTGCCCTGCCGCTGGGACCATGTCCCCTGTGCAATTTGACCCCGCCAGGTTGCACCCCAGCCCGTGGAGGATGCATCTGTAAACACAACTTCCCGACGACACGGGAGGGAACCGAGCGGGACCCCTGTGGTCATAAACAACCTCACCCTCCATTGGGACAGAGACTGAAGACACTGAGGCCCCACCCGAAGTCTTCGGAGACGATGAGTGTTCCGTGTGGGATCCAGATTCAAGCTGTTCAACCACATCTGGAGGGGCCGCAATGACAGCAGCCCCAAGGGCACTACGGCGGACGCAGCTGTAAGCATGCCCAAGAGTCGAAGATACCGTACAAGAGGCAGCGCCATGCCGCGCCTGAATTCCGGGAGCACGCTGGGGTGACGGGCAAGCAGTCATTGAGATGGAATCCATGGCAATGCCCAGGAAGACAGTCTCCTGTGAGGGAGTCAGACTGCTCTTCTCCATGTTCACCTGCAAGCCCAAGCATCCCACATGATGGAGCACTAACCGAGTATCTTGAACCGCCTGGTCCCACGTCGCAGCACAAATGAGCCAGTCGTCCAGATATGGGAGGAACCTCAATCCCTGTGCCTGCAGAGGAGAGAGGGCCGCTGCAACACATCGGGTGAACACCCTGGGGGACAGTGAAAGTCCGAACGGGAGGACCCTGAACTGGAAATGCCTCCCTTGAAAAGCAAAACGAAGAAACCGCCAATGGGGCGGAGCGATCGGAACGTGAAAATAAGCATCCCTGAGATCTATGGAAGTGAACCAATCGCCTGGGGAAATCGCCTGCAACACTTCCTTGGTGGTCAGCATATGAAAGGGCATGGCCTTCAAGTACACATTCAGGCCTCTGAGGTCCAAGACTGGACGCAGGCCCCCGGTCTTCTTCGGAACCAGAAAATACGTGGAATAAAAGCCCCCTGGATCCAGCAGGGGGTCCACAGGCACTATAGCACCCTTGGCCAGCAAGGTGCAGATTTCTTGGTTCAGTGCCTGTGCCTTCACCGGGTCGTGGATCACAGTCATCCTGACCCGACCAGGGATAGGTGGCCGGCGGCGGAATTGAAGACGGTACCCCCGGGACAGGGTGGACAACACCCACAAGTCCGGGGTGTGGGCAGCCCAGAAGCTGAGCTGTCCCGGGGAAAAATAACCGACCGCCGGCCCTAAGGCATCATCTGCGGGTCCCCCGGCCTTTCGAAGGCCCCGGAGGACGCCGGCCAGACTGCGCGGCTCGAAAGGGATGAAAGGACCTTGTCCCAGCCTGGTCTCGAGCTCTGTTCCTCCAATCTAGAGCAGGTCTCTGGACCGATCTCTGACCTGGTAACAGACCCTGGGGCTCAGTGGGAGAAGGAGAAGGCACCAAGGACCTCCGTGAAGGACCCGCAGCTGCCCAGGTGCTTACTGGCTGGCGATCACGTCTGTGAAGCCCTGCCAGCTGTTGCCTCGTTCTAGAGGCCTGAGCCGTACGGTCCAAGGCGTCCAGTGCCGCAGAACCAAACAGCTCCCCCGGGACCACAGGCAGGGCCCGGAGGGTCCTCCTACAAGGCTCAGTTAGTTGTAACTGCGCCAACCAGACCTGGCGGCGAGAATGAACCAGTGTGGAGAGTGTGCGTCCAAGTTCCCTCGTCATAAGAGCAAAGGCCTGCAGAGATGCATCAACCAGGCCTTGCGTGGCATGATCCAGCAGAACAGATTCCAAGGAGGAAGACAGGGCCAGCATAAGATGGGAGAGAGAGTTCCCAATCCGGCCCATGCGGGCCCCAGAGTCATAGGCCTTGCAGAGAAGGTCGTCGGTAATACGGCACTGAGGACGCGGACAACGGGCATTGGGCCGCAAGGCCTCATCAGGCGGGATTATAAGAGAGGCAATGCCCGGTTCCACCGCTGGCATCTGCCCCAAGCCAACCTTGGGTGCCTCCTGCATAGCTGCCAGGACCCTGCCATCCGTCGTCAGACGTGAAAACGCCTTGGTGTCTGACCAGCAAGCATGCAGTTCCCGCACATACTCCACCGAGGGAGGAACCACAAAGGCAGTCTCTGACCTACTGCGCCTAAAGAAGGCGCTGGAAGCCGCAGGCTGGGCCTGAGGAACACTAATTTGTAAACGGGCAAGAGCCGTTCGAATAGCGGATGTCACAGACTCCCCCGTATCCTCCTGGGAGGCAATGGAGTCCAACCCAGAGGCCCCGGAGCCCAGCTCCGGAAGGTCCTATCAGAAATAGGTGCCAGAGGCCGCCACAGAAACAGCATCGTCGTCATTGACTGACGTTTCATCCTGCTCGGTAGGGAGAGCCGTGCCACGATCACCAGCAGTCTGAAAGGACTGGAGGAAGGCTTTCATTTGGGGCAGCTCAGTAGTGAGATGATCCACTCTCGTGGACAACCTCCCTGCATCGGTCCGTCTAGCACGCTTTGTCGGTACCGAAGGTGCAGCCACAGTAGATCGCTTGCACACCGCTTTCTCCATCGGCAAACGAGCACGCGGCGAAGCGCCCGCCCAGTCGGTAGTCTGCTCCAGTGCAGCCAACCGATCCAGTCTGACCGACCGGGGCATGACGCGACAGTTGAGGCAAGCGTCATCTGTCAGCGCCTCCCGGAGATGTTCCACACCGGGGCAGGAGGGACACAAGTCATGCCCGTCATCGGGCTGAAGTGGAGCCAGACAGGTCGAGCAACATAAATTATCCAGCATCATACTGCTGAAAGGCGTGATCAGCCCGCTACCAAGGACAAGTCAACACGAGCAGGAAACGCTACTGGCGACTCCGTTGTAGGAAAACCCCCGTAGAGGTCCCAAACTCAGCGTTAGCAGAAACGCCACTAGCAAATCGATTATTAACTAATGAACTCAGCACGAGCAGAGACGCCACTGGTGAGTTTAGGCAAACAAACTATAGAAGAACCCAACGCGAGCAGAAACGCTACTGGTGGGCTTAGGCAAACAAACTGAAAACAACTCAGCGCGAGCAGAAACGCCACTGGTGAGTGTAGATAAACATACTATAGAAGAACCCAACGCGAGCAGAAACGCTACTGGTGGGCTTAGGAAAACAAACTGAAAACAACTCAGCGCGAGCAGAAACGCCACTGGTGAGTGTAGATAAACAAACTATAGAAGAACCCAAAGCGAGCAGAAACGCTACTGGTGGGCCTAGGCAAACAAACTGAAAACAACTCAGCGCGAGCAGAAACGCTACCGTGAGTCAAAAGAGCCACAAAATTAACGTGGCAAATCAAAGCGAACAGTAAACTACTGCTGAGAAAAGAACGAAAACTTACCAGTCACCGCACATCTGGTAAGGTGAAAGCAGCTTGTGCAGCCCCTGGAGGGCGAGACTTACCCGCAGCTCCGACCAAACCCGGTCACGGGGCTACCAGCAACAAGCAGCCAGGAAACTAGTGGTATACACAGAAGCAACCAGCTTCACACGACCACACTCCTGTACTCAACACACCTGCGTGCGAGAAGAACAAAAGGGATTGATTGCCGGGTGCCACGTGACTATATAGAGTCACGTGGGTCCCCGGCAGGTCACAGCTGACTTTGTTGTCATTAATACTCGACCTGCGCATGCGCATTAAGGATCATTCAGTGCTTGAAGCACCGCCTCTGGCGGTCAGTAGGGATGAAATATAACTTGTTTCTCCTAATTTTAGGACATTATTCTCTTAAAATTAGAACTTTATTCTCATAATTTTACTTTATTCTCATTGCGACTTTATTCTCGTTATGTTACGACTTTATTCTTGAAATGATCATAAATAATAAATCTCTTGCATGGCCCTAATACTCCGTTGTTGTTTGTTTATATAGTATTAAAATTATAAAAGTGTCTGACTGGCTGTGCTTTGCAACATGAGAATATTTTATTATTCTTAACCCCTCTGAGAATATTTTAATGAAAGGAACCATTTGTGTATTTCCAGCAAAAAAAAAAAAAAAACTTTAAAAATTAATATTCAGTAAGTTAAAGTTGATTAAAATTGATGATGTTCCTGCTCAACTCGTCACAGAGCGGAGCTGTGGACCGCTCCATGATGGCGCCACCAAATCATGCTGGGGCTCATAGGCGAAAGCGCTCGATGCGGGGGGGTCTACTCTTATATCATGTCTATGGTTTTGATACCGGGTCGGGTTTAAATAAGAACTTCTAGAACCAAACAAAGGAAAGATCTATTGGAAGCGCTGCTGCAGGTCCAGCGTGTTGGCCGTTGGGTCGGAGCGTGCCGCAGGGTTCGGTAGGTTTTCTGGTTGATGTTTCTATTCTCTTCTTTCAGAACATTATTAAGAAGGTCAGCGGTCAGAAGTTTGTCTATAAGTTTGTGAGTCAGCCTGACCCGTCCATGCCTGACGGGACACGCAGCGCCGAGGACGCCCAGAAGAAGGACCCGGCTGACCTGAGCAGCCAGCCCAAAGGCCCGGGGGGCGTGTCCTCAGGCTGCCAGTCGAAGGGCTTGCTCCAGGTATGGCCCTTTGTCTGCGCTTTCTCTCTCTGTCGATGTGACGGCCTGGTTCTGATCCACTGGTGCCTGTCGACCCGCAGCGCTCCTCACCCAGCGCCGCCCAGAAGAGCTCCAGGAACGACTATATGAAGTCTGGCCTCTACTCGACCTTCACCATCCAGTCCCTGCAGAACCTTCCTAACCCTCGGCCAATCAAATCAGAGCTCCTGCTGCAGCAGGACTCCGCCCCCAAGGCGGTGAGTCCGGTCCAGTCCAGTCTGGGGAGGGTCTTTGTCCTGCAGCGCCATCCTCAGGCCATAAAACCAAACCGTCTTCTCGTTCTCAGGTCTGCCTGCTGCCAGAGAGTAAAGCATCTCCGCCTGCAGGTGGCGCCACTGACCCGTCTCTCGAGGTGATCGTCACACAGACGTCTCCCTGTCCCACTCCGGCCCTGAGCCCGCAGATCCCAGCCAACCCCAGCAGCCAATCACAGGTAGGCAGCAGGCCCCGCCCCCTGCTTATGCTCCACCCCAGAACTATTCCTTAGAGAGGCTCACAGGTTTCTGGCAGAACGTCCATGAACAGAACCTTCTGCTCCACCTCATCCCTGAGAGCCTCTGTAGGACGGAGATCTCCATGGAGACAACCGGAGCTTCAGCCTGATGGAAGGAACCATCAGAAGATTGGTTCACTGTGGTTCTGACGGGTTTAAGATGGTCAGCGGTGATGTTCTGATCGGTCCTGATGGTGTCAGGATCGTTCCCCACACCATGATACCACCACCACCAGCCTGGACTGTTGATATCAGGATGGATCCAATCTTCTACGCTGCTTCTGTTGTGTTCTGACCCAAACATCCATATGAACAGAACCAGTTCTGGTCCATGGTACCATCCAGTTAGCCATTGGTTCTGATGACATGTCTCTGTCTCTGTAGAACCTGACTGGAGCCCCTCGGAGTGACCCGCCTCCCATTTACCTCACCAACGTCGGAGACCCCGCCTCCCTCACCCCCCTCCTCCCTCTCGCTCCCAACGGAGGCGGGACAGGAAGTTCTGGTCCTACTCCCCACGTTACGGCAGCCCCTGAGGGACCTCGGCAGGACGACTGTGGCGGGGTCCACCCTCAGTCCCACCCCGTGTTTGTCATCATCAACCCCTCTCCTCCTCAGCAACAGGCCGCGCCCTCCCTTCAGGCTCCGCCCCCTCCCATCATCATCAAGGAGGAGAACCTGCCTTCGGAGGCCGAGCTGCTGGACATGGTGGTTCTGGACAGGAAGCAGGGCGAGGAGGTGAGTGGACGGGTCACTCTTCACACAGAGGTCCAACTGATCAGAACCAGAGCTGGTAGAATGAGGGCTGGGCGGTACCAGAAACGGACCCAGAGGAGACAGAACCTCACCAAGGTTGGAGGTTGGAGGGCTTCTGGATTTTCTGGGTCTGATGAGGTTCTGGTTCTGATATACTGGTGATCCAGGATTTTCAGCAGTGGGGGGGTTCTCCACTGCATCCCCATCGTCCTCTTCCTCCCCACCGTCCTCTTCCTCCCCATCATCCTCTTCCTCCCCATCATCCTCTTCATCACCATCATCCTCTTCCTCCCCATCATCCTCTTCATCCCCATCATCCTCTTCATCACCATCATCCTCTTCCTCCCCATCGTCCTCTTCCTCCCCATCATCCTCTTCATCCCCATCATCCTCTTCATCACCATCATCCTCTTCATCACCATCATCCTCTTCATCCCCATCATCCTCTTCATCACCATCATCCTCTTCATCACCATCATCCTCTTCATCACCATCATCCTCTTCATCTCCATCATCCTCTTCATCCCCATCATCCTCTTCATCCTCTTCCTCCCCATCATCCTCTTCATCCCCATCATCCTCTTCCTCCCCATCATCCCCATCATCCTCTTCCTCCCCATCATCCTCTTCCTCCCCATCATCCTCTTCATCCCTATCATCCTCTTCCTCCCCATCATCCCCATCATCCTCTTCATCCCCATCATCCTTTTCATCCTCTTCCTCCCCATCATCCTCTTCCTCCCCATCATCCCATCATCCTCTTCCTCCCCATCATCCTCTTCCTCCCCATCATGCCCTTCATCCCCATCATCCTCTTCATCCCCATCATCCTCTTCATCCTCATCATCCCCATCATCCTCTTCATCCCCATCATCCTCTTCCTCCCCATCATCCTCTTCATCCTCATCATCCTCTTCCTCCCCATCATCCCCATTATCCTCTTCCTCCCCATCATCCTCTTCATCCCCATCATCCTCTTCATCCTCTTCCTCCCCATCATCCTCTTCTTCCCCATCATCCTCATCATCCCCATCATCCTCTTCCTCCCCATCATCCTCTTCATCATTAATCTCCTCTTTCTTCTCCCCTAATGATGTGAACCATCAGACTCAGAGATGTTGTTCTGCTCCACCATCAGCCGAGGTGAAGGTGAGGTTTCTGGAATCCTTCAGAACCGCCTGTTGGCGTCAGACTGGGTCTGAGTTAAGGAGGCAAATGTTTAAAACACCTTCAGGATCATTAACAGTCACAGGATTGTTCCGATTTTAGTCATTCAGACACATTTTAGTGGACAGAACCCTTTTTATTTTTTATTTAACCCTTTGAAACCGAACGTGTCGCCCGCGACACATTTCACAAGCCCACTTCAACTTACCGTAACTCTGCAACGGTTTGCACTATCAGAAAAATTCAAACTGTCTTTGAAAGAAAATAAATTGCACTTTCAGACCTGCATAGTGTTATTACGGTAATTGACTTCCCGCCGCTCCAGGATGCCCGCGAATGCTAGTCTGTGTCTCCCTCTGCTGCACGGACGAAGAGTGCAGAGTGAGGAGGAAAAGATGAGCGACAGAGCGGAGAGTCAGAGTGAAGCGCATGATAATATGAGTAACAAACGTCCTTCAAGAGATAAAAAGAGACCGAGGAGATTCCTGGATGGTTTTGTGTTTTATCACTTAATTTTTATTTAAATTTTTGCAACTTACACAGACATATACATACAAGCCTGCATTCAGGCTGCCGCTCAATATGGTAAAGTTATAAAAAAGAACAAAACTTTGAAAGTATATACAACAAGTTAGGCTTAAAAGTAAAGTAGGTCACATGGTTAAACATAAGTAGCTTACAAACATAAATATAGTTAGTAATTAAATAAGCAGCACCAATGGGATAAAAATTTAATAGAAAATAATAAGTAAATATAAAAAAAAATACAATAGAAATTGAATAGAATAGAATGAAAGAGAGAAAAAAATGATAATAATAAAAAAAATAAAATAAAATAAAAAGTTTTACTGCATTAATATGGTCATGGCCGGTTTCCACCTATTAACAAATATGTCTTTTTGAAGCCTCAGGCGATAAGTTATTTGTTCCATAAAATAGATTTCCCAGACCTTTTCAATCCACATTTTGTATGTTGGCGGATCAGGCTTCAACCATTTAACTGTGATGCATTTAAGAGCTGCAATCAGTAATATTTGTAGAAGGTACCTTTTTCCTCTTCCAGTAACGTGTTTTGGTAATAATCCAAAAAGTACCATCTCAGGGTCTTTGTTAAAGGTATTCTGAAATACTTTTCTGAGGGCCTCGAATATATCGTCCCAAAATTTTCCCAATTTAGGACATGTCCAGAATATATGGGTATGGTTGCCGATGTGTGACCCACAATTTCTCCAGCATTTATCTGAGTGTATGAACCCCATTTTAGATATGACTGCTGGTGTCCTGAAAAAACGTATTATTATCTTCCACCTAAATTCTCGCCATGTATTAGAGTTAGTGACTTGATGCGCCGTAGTACATATTTCTTCCCATTTGTCTTGCTGTATATCTATGTTCATTTCGCTTTCCCATCTTTCTTTGGTCTGTAGAGTTTTGTTTGGATCCATATCTATAAATAACTTGTATAAATGGCTAATAATTTTCTTATTCCCTCTACCTGTTTGCAGTTTTATCAGGAATTCTTCAATTTTAGTGGGCTCTAGGATTGTAGTCCGCTCTCTGTGTTTTGTTAAAAAGTCCCTTAGTTGTAAATACCTAAAAAAATCTGTATTGGGGAGTGTAAATTCCACTCTTAATTGTTCAAATGATTTAAGACTCCCATCTTTGTGAAGTTGGTGTAGATTTATAAGGCCTTGTTTTGACCAATTTCTGAATCCTGGGTCCATCTGTGAGGGAACAAAATCATTTATAAGACCAATGTTGGTTAGTGCTGAGATTGATTTAGGCAGTCCATAAGTTATCTTTATTTTCCTCCAAATTTTCAGTGTGGTCCTAGTCCATTCGCTCATATGAATTTCCCTAAGCGGGGTATCCGAAAAAAGGAGGGTCTGTAAGGGCCATTTGCATGTGCCTTTCTCAATATTTAGCCATCTTGTGTGTATAGGTTCTTGTAGCCATGCTATTAGAGGTCTCAGCTGCGCAGCCCAAAAATACAATCTAAAGTTTGGAAGTTTAAGACCTCCATGTGATTTGGACAACATAAGTACCTTTAGTCTGACCCTCGGGCGTTTTGATTGCCATATGAACTTTGTAATCAACTTGTCTAATTTATCAAATGTAGATTTAGGGATGTCTACAGGAAGCATCTGGAAAGGGTAAAGTAATTTAGGTAATACATTCATTCGTATACATTCGACACGGCCATCATGGATAAGGGAAGGGTCGACCATCTGTCCAGCTCCTTACTAATGTTTTGAATTAAGGTTGTGTAATTCACATCAAATAGGTTTCCTAACAGTGGGGGGATTATGATACCCAAATATTTAATTCCTTCTTTTGGCCATTTGAAACCACTCTCGGCCTTGAATGTGTGAGAGATTCTATTCCCTATATCCATGGCTGTTGTTTTTTCTATATTAACTTTATATCCTGAGAAATACCCAAATGTGGAAATAATGTGTTTTATATGTGGGATTGTTACTGTAGGATCAGTGAGGTAAAGAAGTACATCGTCTGCATATAATGATAGTTTGTGTTGTTCTCCATTTATTGTGAGTCCCTTAATGTTGTCCCTAATAAGCTGTGCCAGTGGTTCAATACTCAAATCAAACAGTAGAGGTGAAAGAGAACAACCTTGCCTACATCCTCACTCCAGGGAAAATCGATCTGATAAAAAACCGTTCACTTTAACAGCGGCTTGTGGGTTGGAGTATAGAATTTGTATCCACCTAATAAATTTGGGGCCAAATTGGAAACGTTTCAGTGTCTGAAAAAGGTATTGCCAGGATACTCTATCGAACGCTTTCTGGGCATCTAATGATAGTAGCATTGCTTCCTTTCCTTTAGTATCTGGATGGGTCATCAAATTTAACAATCTTCTAATATTATCACCATAATATCTCCCAATAATAAACCCAGTCTGATCTGGGTGGACAATATTTGTTATGATTTTATTAACCCGCATTGCTAATATAGATGTTAATATGCGTAGGTCTGTATTCAAAAGAGATATTGGCCTATATGATTCACATTTGGTAGGATCCTTTCCCTCTTTATGTAACACAACTATTGTTCCTTCTCTCCAGGGGGGAGCCAGGATACCAGATTGCAGTGCGTCATGGTAGGCATTTAACAGTAGGGGTGTTAATGTATCTTTAAATATTTTATAGAATTCATTGATGTAACCGTCTGGTCCAGGGCTTTTACCATTTTGTAATGCAGCGATGGCCTCTGTTATTTCCGATTCTTTGATAGGTTCGTCTAGTCCCTTTGCCTCCATGTCCGATAACTGTTTTAAATTTATATCTTTTAAGAATTCTGTCAGTTCTTTATCATTAGTGCAGGTGTCTGTATTGGTGTATAATGATTTATAAAATTCAGCAAAGGATCCTGCAATCTCATCCGGTTTTGTAAGTGTTGAGTTGCTAGCTTTCAACTTATGTATTATATTAGAGGATTGTTGTTTTTTAAGTCTCAGAGCCAAGAGTACTTGCTCGGTTTCCATTCTCATAATATTTCTGCTTGGTAAACCTCAAACTGCCCTCAATATGTTCCATGATCAAGCTGTTTAAATCTCTACGTGCTTGTTTGATCTCCTTGAGCAAATTGGGAGTTAGCGTCCTTTTATGTTGTTGTTCCAAATGTGCTATTTTATATTCCAATTCTTGCCGCCTTGCTACCTTATCCTTTTTTTTGCACTTGCAAATGCAATAATCCGGCCTCTAATGTACGCCTTGGCACAGTCCCATAGGACGAGAGGAGATACATCAGGAGAGCTATTCATTTCAAGATAGTACTTTAGTTCATTTGTTACAAAAGTGGTAAATTCTTTGTCATTTAAGAGTGATGCATTGAGCCTCCACTGTTTGGTCGTTAATCTATATCCTATGTCCCACGATAATTCTAGAGGTGCATGATCTGATATTGTTATTGGCAGAATCTTAACAGTCCCTATCCTATGTAACTCTGCTTTAGGGGTGAAAAAAAGATCGATTCGTGAATAAGATAAGTGTCTGTGGGAGTAAAAAGTAAAATCTCTGCCCTTCGGAAATTTAGTTCTCCAAGCGTCTACTAATCCGGATTCAGTTGATAAGGATTTGAGTGTTTTGCTCATTCGAGAAATTGATGTTTTTGATGGAGGCTGTCTGTCCAGATGCTGAGACATGACGCAGTTGAAATCTCCCGCTATCAATAGAATTCCAGAGCTATGCTGTAATGCAGTGGAAAAAATTGTGGTAAGGAAGCTGGGATCATCCTCATTGGGAGCGTATATGTTCATCAATGATACTTGTATGCCATCAATACATCCATTTACTAAAACGAATCTTCCTTCAGGATCCTTATGTATGTTACTGGTTAAAAAACTCACCTGTCTATGCACTAATATGGAGACCCCTCTTTTTCTCCCTGATTTATGTGATGAGTAAAATATTTTGTCTGCCCACGATTTTTTAGCTTATCATGTTCTATATCTGATAAATGGGTTTCTTGTAAAAAGGCTATCTGGCATTTTTCTCTTTTTAATTGATCAAGGATTTTCTTCCTCTTTATGGGATTGTTGAGACCCTTGACATTATAACTTATAACCTTTAACGGTCCCATGGCAAAAAGTCGAAATATGGATAGGCATGATCCTTTGCCATATTGCAATATACTGAATGGTAAAGGAATAGGTGGGAGGGAAAATCATAGATGGGTCGCACAAAGTTCTGAGGTAGGGTGGGTATTGGCCAGTAAAGTTGAAAATAAATAGGGAAAAAGGAACAAAAAAAAAAAAAATTATATATATAAGAAAAAATAAATAAATAAATAATAAAAAATAAAAAAAAGAACACAAGAAGACAGCAGTGTATGTATATTTCGGTTTGAAAATTATCAAACATTTTGAGTTTGAACACCGGGAAGAAAATATCCCCAACAGCTACTATTTCTACATTAGGATCCCTGGGGAACAAAGGGATCTGCATCAAAAGAACAAAACTCAAGGTTAGAACAACCTTAAACTCAACCAGTATAATATGATCAGTCTCTTGGGACAGGGTCCCAGGCTGCTGGTCAGAACATGCAGCTATGCGAACAGTACCCAAAGGTGTTCGCCTTTGCCTGGACATGGATCCAAACAGGTTCACAGACAATCAACTTAGGCTCCCACAGAAATAGGCTCCGTATTAAAGACATGAGTGAAATCCCCACAATATGTGTGATTAAATTATTGTTTTTTTTTGTTTTTTTTGTCTTTTCTTTTAATTATTATTATTTATATATTTTTTATATATACAAACCAATTGTAGCAGGAGTATAGTGAATAAGTAGGGTTTAAGCTTAAAAAGCAAATCACCTCCAATATGCTTAGCAGGACCACTGCTCACTGAGATTCTGGGCGCTGTGCGCCTCCCATATTAAATGAGGGCACAGTCAGTTCTCCGGCTCCGCTGCTGGGATGACTTTTTTCTTCACATAGTCCATAGCTTCGGTAGCATCCAGAAACTCCTTCTCCTCATTGTTGTACGAGATGCGAAATCTAGCTGGGTATAATACATGGGCGTAGGTTTGCATAGGGACCATAGGGACATGTCCCTACCAAAATTTTGGACGGACCCATTTGTCCCTACCAATAATTGGATGTGAACAACATGTTTATAATTTACTATACAGCAGCCGCTTCTTTTCCTCTCGCAGCTTCTCTGCCTGGTAGCTGCAGCTGCCTGCTCTTTCCTGTCCCTTTCACATAGCAGGGCATCAGCTGTGCTGCGCGGTTTAACTCTCTGATTATTCTGCCTTAAGTTCCGCCTTCTCTCTTTCTGATTGCGTTATTTCTAGTCTGTATGTGCGCGTGCGCGGGTGCTTGGAGCGCGAAAAAAAAGACACTAAAATAAATTAATATTGGGCTACGAAACTAGTCCAAATAAAAAAAATATTATCTACGCTAAAACAGGCGAAAGCTTCTGACTGGAGTTCTGTAAAGAAGCAGGAGAGAGTTTTTTGATTTGTGGAACTTGAGAAATGTAAGTTAACAACGTTATGATTTCTTTTATTTTATCTTTTAATCAGATAGCCAAAGGCTTCTTAAAGATCTTTTATGAAATGAAACCAGGTGAAACAGAAACTTTTAAAAGTTTCCTTTGGAGGAGTTCTGGATGGAGAATATTTACAGACAAAAACTTTTTTTTTTTTCTTCTTAAACGCTAAATGTTTACATATTTTTTTACAATCTTGGTATAATTCCTGCTCTAAGTGGGTTGCTCTGTCGGCTAAAGGCAAATTTTAGTGGCGCTATACTCCAGTTTACGATTAATCAATTACTAAATTAGTTCACGATTATTTAAATAATTTGTTAATATGATTAATTGTTTCAGCCATAGATAAAATACATGAAATTAGCTACACATAGTAACTACAGCCCAGATGTACAACTTCTAATATTAATACTTTAAATGCTCAGTGTCAGTTCCTCTTCTAGTTCCAGTGCTAAAGTAAATACAATACATTTATTTGCCGTCCCTTGAATGTATTATTTTTGCATGATCCAGAGAGAGCATATTAGATAAAAAAAAATAAGAGTGGGGTTTTACCTCTGTTTACCTCTGCACAATTCTCTATCTTCAGAAGAAAACACAGGATAAATCCACATATTATATAGACTATATTTGGTTAAACAGACACTGTCCTAGTCGCAGGTAAATTTAAATGCAATCCTTTTCAAAGTGGAAAAAGTCCTAATTCCACATTCATCAGAGCCAGTGATGCTTTAAATATTGATAAACAGCATCTAGTGCATGTAGTGCTTATAATATTTGTATTAATGTAGCAAGAAATGCTGCTGTTCTCTTTAAACAAAATGAGCCCTGAAGCTCACATTAAGCATAAAAAAGAGCATGCATATTTTTGCAAAGGACCAATGAAACTGAAGAATAGTGTCCCTACCAAAGTTGAAATCAAACCTACGCCCTTGGTATAATATTCCAAAGCGGACTCCCGGTCTCCCCCGCAGCATCTTCCTGACATCCGTGAATGCAGCCCTGGCTTTGGCGACATTAACCGTGTAGTCTGGAAACACAGAGATCGTGTTCCCATCGAACTGTAGCCTGCCACCTCGATCCCGGGCTTTCCTCAGAATGGCCAAGGCGTCGCCCTCGTTGTGCAGCCTTGCGATGATTACGCGGGGCTTGTCCCCCGCTCCTCTCTGCACCAAGCTGCGGTGGGAGCGCTCGACAATCCCCTCTTTATCCATCTGAAAAACTTCTTTGAGGAGTTTTGAAACTGCTGCGGGCGAGCTGGATCCCGGACGCTCTGCGACCCCCATGATTCGAATATTGCCTCTCCTCATTCTCCCCTCCAAGTCCTCACACTTATCTCTTAGTTCACCCACCAACTTCTCCAGGTCCTTTACCGTGCGTTGTGTTGATACCACCTCGTCCGTCCATGTTGATAAGCCCTTCTCCACCGCTCCGACATTGGACTTCATGTGGTCCAGCTCGGCATGAATAGCCGTAGTATTATTAGCGATTTCAGATCTTACTGCAATAAGTTCTCTCTTAATTGATTCAAAGTCCTCTGCCAAAACGGTCCTCAATTCCTCTCTTATTACCACAGATATATCTTTTCTCAGCGATGAGAGGATATCAGCTTTAATAGACGTAATGTCCATTATCGGTGTGTGGCTGGGTTCGGGCGCGGCCGAGGTGGGGCTACCTGAACTCTTACCCGAGGAGGTGCTGGGCCTTGTGGTAGACGTGCCTTCGTATTTATATTTTCTGAGATTTGACACCATCTACTTAACTTGTACTCACTTTGGGGCCTCCTTCAATGCTCTGCTTGACTCTTTGTAGGGTTTTGAATATAGTTTTCAGGTTGAGTGTTGTTTTAATTATGGAATTAAGCCTACTCCGCGGGAGCTCCAAGCCACACGTCTTATTCCATCAGTTGCTCGCTAGCGCCCCCATGGTTTTGTGTTTGAAAAAGGAGATCCAGTTTTTTCTTCTGAAGAAAGGTAATGTTTGATCATTGAATAACTTTTTGAATTTTATTTCTGAATGAATGGGGCTTGTTACTTCGTGGATAATAGCTTTTACTTGGTACACATAATTGGATGTATTTATAGTTTTATTTTCTATTTTACTTTGTTTTTGGAATAGTTTAGAGACTATAAAAAAATAAATAAATAAATAAAAAAGAGTATAAGTTATTATAATATTCATCAATATGTACTTTGTGTAAAAGTGCACTTTTGCTCACTATATATGATACTCCTAAGTACAGCACCACACTCTTCATGTATTCATGTGTAGCTTACTATGACTTTTTTTATTGCTTAGTGTGTATTTGAGACCAACTTTATTTATTTACTACTATAAATAAAAGCTGTCATTGCTGTGACAAACTTGTATATTTACTGTTTTTAGAAGATTTTCTAATGAAGAGCAGCTGGCTCCAAGGGGGCGACGTAGAAGAGACAGAATTCCTTCTGGAGGGTCTGCTGGGGTCCATGCTGGGAGTATGAGGCACCGCAGCCGTTCCCCACATCATCCAAGGTGGAAGACCCATGAAGAGCCTGATGAGAAAGGCTTTCAACCCCTAAGGTTCTTCTCCAAAAGAATCCCTGGTGTCCAACCGCCTCTAAATGTAGGAAATCCACAACCAGGCGAAATTTTTGAGTACTTTTTTGACGATGAAGTCCTCACATTAGTTTGTGATTTTACAAACAAGGGGGCAGCCAGGAACCTGGAGAAAGGGAGGAAGTTCTCCTGGACTGAAATAAGTCCAGGGGAACTGAAGAAATTTATTGGCATGCTGCTCTACATGTCAATCAGCCGCCTGCCAAAAATCAGAGATTTTTGGCGGACTGGAAGTATTTTCAGTCTTCAAACACCAGCTACCATCATGTCCAGAGACCGGTTCTTGGCCATTTTGGCCAATGTTAGAATGAGTGACCCAGAGGAGGATCAGCAAAATGAGAAACTAAAGGGCACAGAAACACAGAAACACCCTCATGACCCTCTCCACCGGGTCAGGCCACTGATGGAGATGATTGGGACAAGGTGCCGTGCCTTATACCACCCAAGGCAGCACCTTGCAGTAGATGAGAGGATGGTTTCGACCAAAGCCAGGCTCAGCATCAAACAGTATATGAAAGCCAAGCCAACAAAGTGGGGCCTAAAATTTTTTGTACTGGCTGATAAAAATGGCTACATGGTGGATTTCCAGCTGTACACTGGAAAATCTAACGTGTCATCGGAGAGGGGCTGTCGTTCGATGTTGTGACCACCTTAGTGAAAAAAGAGTACCTGGGCTCTGGATACATTGTCTACACGGACAACTTTTACACCAGTCCTGTCCTGTTCAAACATCTGAGGCAGCAGGGATTTGGCGCTTGCGGGACATACAGGCAGGGAAGAGTTGGTGTCCCCACCACCACTGAAAATGCCCTCACCAAAAAGTCCCCACGAGGCAGCATCCGGTGGATCAGGGATGGGGAGCTTCTTTTTGTGAAATGGATGGACACCAGGGAGGTCTCGATGGGCTCCACCATCCACCCTGTTTACACTGGAGACTCTGTTCAGCGCTGGCAGAAGTCACCTGATGGGAAAGTACAGGTCGCTGTCCCCAGGCCCACTGCTGTGACAGAATACAATAAATACATGGGAGGGGTGGACACATCGGACCAAATGATTGGGACACATTCTATCCACCGCAAAACAAAAAGGTGGGTCACCACTGTGTTCCAACATTTGGTCGACATCGCTGTGACAAACTCCTTTGTTATTCACAAGGATCAGTGTTGTACAATGAGAAGCAAGCAGAAGACCCGACAAAGTTTCCAGGAGGAGCTGGCAGCACACCTCCTAGGTGTTCCTCTTTATGACGAGCCACAAAAAGAAGCTGGGAAAAAACATCTACCAGTCCCATGCAGCAGCAACAAGCAGGCAAAGTCTGAGAGAGCAAGCATGGGGAGACGGCGCTGCAAGCTTTGTCAGAGAAGCACAGCCTGGAGTTGTGAGCTCTGTAATGTGGGCTTGTGTCTTCAGGTGGACAGAAATTGCTTCTGGGAATACCACCAAGTTCCCAGGAAAATAAGGAGAAATGCAGAGAGGGGAAAATCGCCTGTAAATAGTTTTAATTGTTAGTCTGTTTCTTATTTGTAAAAATAATTGAGAATGAAAAAAATATTGTAAATATGTTCTATAGTGTTGAAATTGTCAAATTGTGATGCAAAATCTGTACTTCATGTTCAAATGCAGTGTTTTATTTGCATAAAATCTCCAAAATCTAATTTCGATTTTTGTTTTTTCTTGATATCAAACAGTTGTAATAGTGGTTTAGTATCAAGAATAATGTAAAATAATGCATGTATTGAAAGCTCTAAATGATTCTGGAAAAATGTGCTGAAGCACTTGGCCACAGGACTTTTTCTTCCTACTTTTTACTTTAAACAAGTAAAAAAAATGCCAGGCGGACTTTTGAGTGACAGGCCTAAAAGGGTTGACTTAATTGATCTCATATCCACCCTGGGGGCGGAGCCATGATGTCAAAGAGCTGATTGGCTCAGAAAGTCTTGGAGACCCTGAAGTTCTTTTGAAGTTTGACTGCTGATGATCTAAATATTCTGGTTCTGATGTTCTCTACTGTTTTCCCCAGGTTCCTCAGCTCGTCTGTCGCTCAACAGAACCAGAACCGCCCCTCACCATAGTAGAGAGCCCCCCGCCTCCAGCGATGGATGTTCAGCAGGAGGTGGAGGAGGGCGAGGCCCAGGACTCCCCATCAGGTAGCTCCCTGGTTTTGTTTATTCTTTGTGCTGGATCAGAACTCTCCTCAGCAGGTCCAGGACCGGACTCCTGCCTTCTAAACGGGTTAGAACCTGCAGGTTCTGGTCCGGCAGCAGCTCTCTGTTCTGAGCAATCAGGTTTCAGTTCCTTCTATATCCGGGTTGAACCTCTCTCTGTCTCTCTCCCTCCATCAGATCTCTCCCTTCCTCCAGTGACCTCTTCCTCCTCCTCCTCTTCCTCCACCGCGGTGACCTCGCGCTCTGGAACGGCCCCTCCCAAACCCAAGAAGCCCCGGATCCTGGAGCTGCCGTCCACCCCCACTCTCCCCCCTGGCCTCTCGCTGGATAAGGTTGAGCGGACGGCTCATCTGATTGGCTGGTTGCGGGGTTTGTTTGTCAGAGCTGTAACATCACTTCCTGTTTCCCCGCAGGTCAATGCAGCAGTGAACAGTTTGCTGGCGCCGGGCTCTGCCACCAACACGCTCACGCCGACCGTCATCACCTCCCACGCTCTGGTAAGCAGCTGCCCTGCAGCAGAAAGCTCGGGTTCTGGTCCGGATCCAGTGAATCCGGACTCCTGGGACCCGTTCTGAACCCGCCTCATGTTCTGTTTCCCAGACGCCGGTGCTGCTGACCCCCAACGCTCTCCCCTCCACCATCCACTTCTGGAGCACGCTCAGCCCCATCGCGCCGCGCTCGCCGGCAAAGCTGTCCTTCCAGGTAACCCAGCCCGCCGCAGCAGGGACCGGTTCTAAGCTCCGGCCCGTTGCAGGCAGAGGGGCGATCAGGGGGGGCGTGTGTTTCTCTGCAGAGCTCAGGTTGGATCAGAACGCGGCCATAATGACGGAGGTTCTGGGCGTCTGCAGGGTTCTGGCTCAGATGCCGCTCCATCCGCTCACTGGTGTCATCAGCAGCCTGCAGGTTCTGCTGCTGCAGCACCAGGATGTTCACCAGCAGAGGAAGAACCGATCCGTTCTGCTTTTATGGTGGATATTCAGGTTAGCCTGCGAGGAGCCGAGATCTGAAACAAAAGCAGCAGATGAGATGATTCACAGACGGTCTGTTAGAGAAACTGAGATGCTGCTGAAAGGTAAACCCTCCACAGATGGACCCTCATCTGAAAGCTGAGCTCTGTTCTTTCTGTGTCGCCTCCTGCTGGTAGAGCTGCAGAATGCAGGAAGCGTGACTTGATTTTCTGGTGTCCTGCATACAGTCAATAACGTTTATCTCTTTAGTTTAATATGAAAGATAATCTTTAAACTACCTCAACGGACGTGTATCCCTTTAGTCATGTACAAAACAACAATTTAATTACTTACTTTTTGTGTTTTAAAGCTACAGTGTGTAATTTTCAGCGACATCTAGCGGTCAGACTGCAGACTGCAGCAACATGAACGTCTCCCCCCCACCGCTTCTCCCCCCCAACAGTACGGCGAGCGTTACGGTACAAAATGTCTTCCACGACGTCCGCATCACCTACCCTCTCAAGTGATGAGGTTTGTTTACATAGATAATTTTACAGATAGTATTTCATTAGTCTGTGTAGGGTATAGATTTCATGTAGACTTAAGATAATAAATATACCCGTTATTTTTTCTACGTCGTTGTGACGTTTTGGCGAGCTGCTTTGCATGGTGATATAAACAGACGAAGTAATTGTAGTCATTAGTTTAACAGCGAGATTGTGTTCGCTGGAAGAATATATATTCCCCGTTTACAGAGTCCAAGTCTTGTTTGTGGCACAGGGGTTACAAGGCGAGGAAGAGGGCAGAGAGGCCGGGGTGGGCGTGCAGCTAGGGCCAGGCGAGGGAGGGGAGCCAGCAGGGTGAGAGCAGAGGAGGAAAGGCTTGAAGATCTCCAAAGGAGCCGGAGAGAAGTAACCGAGGTATATATCCAGAAAATTATTTTACAGAAAATTACTGAATCATTACCTGTGAAACGTCAGGGACGTTGCTGAATAAGTATACTGGAGAGTAACAGCATCATCACGCAGCATGTTATTGTTTTAGACAGGTCTGAGCATCCTGTACTCCAAAAACTGCAGTGATATTAGACAATTGTGTGTGTAGGATTAATTACCTGTCCAAGAGAAAACTGGCAACTTGAGCGTCACTTTGAAAACCTTTTTCCTCCATCAGTGACTTCCATCGTGTAAATGCCGTGCCAATGGTGATCCGTGTTTTTTGTCGTTTCTTGTCACGCTTGCGTTTATTCTCGTGTTTCCGCTTCTTAGATGACGGGGGTTCGGTGTCCGCCGCTTTTCGTTGTGATACAGAGTAGGCATGATCCTCCATTCGTCTGATGTTTGGCCAAACAGTTTGCAAAGTCACTCACGCCTGCCGCCTTGTTCACCTTTCTTGTTACTGAGGCGCAGTATACCTGCTTCTTCTTCTTCTTTGGTTTCAGGCAGACTAAACGCTTCTCAGGCATAATACTGCCATCTACTGTTCAGTACCGTCTCAGTTCATCTCTCTCAACTTGCCGTAGTTATTTTCGAGCATAATGGGAGATCTCGCAATCGCTAGTTTGTTGCCTCTGCGCTGCCGTAGCGCAAAGATGTCTGCCTCCATGGCTGCGAGACCCGCTCCTATGTAATTATAAATAACGAATTCTAAGGCAACGCAAATATTATGGTTAAAAGGCTGAGCTCAAAGGTGATGATAAATAACATAGTTATGTATAATATATTAAATTTCTGACTTTATATGCCTGTAATTATTACACACTGTAGCTTTAAAGTGTATGGTTATCTGACCTTAAATTGTTTTTTTTTGTACATGACTATATTTATATTTAGGTAGATGGGTGTTAAAATAGATCTGTTATTGGTTTGTTTTTAGATCCTTCCTCATTTTCACTGGGTCAGATAGTTACGGTTTATGTTCAAATAAACTTTTGGGTCATTTTTTCAGTTTTTCTGGTGTTTATTGTGATGTTGGTCTTAACTTTTTATTATTTAGTGGCTTTAAAAAGTCTTTAAGAGTGTTGAATTGAAGTGGCTTTATGCTGTAGCTGGTTTTCCTTCCTGTCTGTCACGTTTCTCCTGTCCATGAACAGAGACGTCCCCTCTGAGGTTCTGCTCGCGGTTCTGACCCGTTTGCAGGGGCAGAACTATAACGACAGTCTAACCCTAACCTTTTCTCTGCCTCCTCTGCAGTTCCCAGCAAACGGCAGCAATCAGATCCACGTCCCGGCGCTGAGCGTGGACGGACTCTCCACGCCGGTGGTTCTGTCCCCGGGGCCCCAGAAGCCCTGAGCCCGCCCCCTCCCACCCCCACGGGGCCCAGTCTGATCTAAAGAAGCCTGGAGGACCAGAGGAGAGCTGGATGGGGACCAAATCTTGTTTACTCGGCGCCACCTGCTGGAGGTTCTGATGAAGATGATGATCTCCGTGCAGACGCCCTTCATCCTCATCGAACGCCGCCTCCTGCTCTCTCTTCCAGGTTTTTAGCGGCGCTCGCTGAAGAACTTTTAAAGGTCCGTAAACCGGAACCTGAGGATTGTCTCCCCATGATACTCCGTCACCATGGCGATGATCAGGACTGTTTGTAAACTATTTATTTCCGTTTCTGCACGTCTCTCGTTTTTCGCCAAACTGGCTCCAAACGAACATTTCTGATCAGAGGGTGGATCTTCCCTCTGATTGGCTGACGGAGGAGGCCACGCCCTCCCATCATTGACCGAACCGGCCAATCAGGGAGGGCGCTCTCTGGCATTCCTGTGTTTCTTGTTATAATGGGATGTTTTGATGCTATGAGCAGACGGAACCGGATCCAACCGATAAAGCCAGGGCCTGGTCTGATCGTCATGGTAACACGCTGATCCATAGTGGAATTCAGTGGGATCTTTGGACCAGAACCGCTCTGATTGGATCAGAACCTTAAACCAGCTGCTGTAGAATGGATCAGAAGAACTTGGATCTCTTGGGTTCTGGTTTCCAGAGAGCTTTCAGAACCGACGGACGGGTCAGGAATATTGGACCTTTTTACGTCCCGCTTCCTTTGACTTCTGACTTTTAACCGGATCCGATTCAGGACGTTTGGTCCTGGAGGATCCCATTGATGTTTTTACTTATAAAACAAAAAGAAAAGTTTTATTCAAATCAACAAAAAAAAAACACATCAAAGCGCTAAAGATGATCACCAGAATAGATGTGACCTTTGAACCCCGGCCCAGTGGCGGCTGATGATGATGATGCTGGGCGTGATGAAGAATCCAGACAATCAGCAAAGGTCAACGGGAGGTTTGTGGAGCTGCTCAGATCATCACTCAAGACTGTTGTTGTTGTCGTTGCCATGGAAACCTGACATGACTGTTGCTAAGCTGCAGATTGTTGTTGTTGCCATTGCTGCCGTTCTAAGTGTTTTCTGTGCTTTCTGCGGGATGCTGAGGCCGCCGGGCCGCACCAGAACCTTTTCGCTGGCCCCTCATTTCTCCGGCCTGCCCTTCTCGCGTTACCATGGTTACACACGGGTGGTGACTGAGGGGGAACCGATTAAATCATATTTTTTTTATCTCTGACCTTTGATGTCACTTTAGGTGAAAGTATAATCATAGATCCACTTTATCAGATCCAAACCGCAGCGATCTAAGCAGGGAGTTTAGAAATAGCAAAACAGCTGATTTAAAATCCGTCCGCACGTATTAAACGTTTCCTCTGATCATCAGGAGGAATCGCACATTAAACAACGTTTAAGAACTTCTGAATGACAGCGAAGATGGAGACCTAAGAACAGGAGATCAGGGCCGGATTTAGGAAGTTTGGGGCCCCAGGCAAAGACAGGCAGGGGGCCCCTCTGAATAGAGAAGACAACAGATCAAACAGCCCCATTCTCCAGATAGAGAAATGTTAATAGAATAGACATCCATTATCTGTTCTAGGTTGTGTCCCTCTCTTCTTGTCCCTTTTCTTCTTGTTTTCCTCTCTATGTTTTGTACTCAGCTGACTTTTCATGCTGTCTCTAAAGGAATGAAAGATTTTTTCCAAGCACTAAGCTCACTTAGCTGATTGCTCCTTCCTGTGTTTCCAAAAAGGCCAAAGTAAATAACCCAGTCCTTCTTTTCACTGTAGACAAGCCATGATCTGCTTATCTGTTCTCCATTTTTCATTTGGATGAAATAATAGCTGCATGAATCATGACAGCAGACAAGATAGAGGAGAGCAGGAGGCGGGGTTACCAATCTACTCGCTCTGGAGAGCAGAGTTCGCTGCTTTTAGATGTTGTCTCCAAAGTCTCCAGTAGCAGAAAAAAGTCTCTAGATTTGGCGCTAGGAGCTTTTTAGAAATCAAAGTGCTAGAGGGGTCTGAAAAGTGGCTAAATATAGCGACTAAAGCGCTAAGTTGGCAACACTGCTCTTTGCATGGTTTGTTTTCAAATGGTTTGCTGCTGTCTGTTTGGACCTTTCTGAACATGTGCAGCAAATGGACTGATCCAATATGGTGGACACTGAAGGGGGGGGGCTGAGACACACTTAGTATTATCAGCGTTCTGATGGCATTTTAGCCAAAGGATTTTTATCAAAAACATAATTAATGTGAACAAATAAGGAATAGTTGTATCAACCATACATGGAAACAGAGTTTTATGGGGCCCCCAGGAACTTTGGGCCCTAAGTTGCTGCCTATTATTGCCTAATGGTAAATTCCACCTTTTTTAACCATAAATATTTCACCAACATCTGTTAAACTGTTTATTTAGCTCCCTAGGCTGCGGTCGCCATTGGTAACTATTAAAAATCATTGACCATCCAATGACATCAATGCAGAGCTTTGATGGTGTGAAGTGGGCGGGGCATGAGGAGGAGCCTTCAGCTGGCTGGTTTAATGGGGAGCAGAGTTTATAAATGAGACGGTAGAACCGTTTCTCCTGGTTCTGAGGAGGAGCTGCTCCTAACGTCAACTGACCGGTTCTGGTGTGGCGCTCCGGTGGAGGTGGGATTTCCCCCTCCTCAGCAGGTCCCCAAACGCAGCATGACTCTATTTTTCTACCAGAGATTATTTTGTTCCGCTCTTGAAGAAGCCTTAAAGTTTTTCCGAGCAGCAGGAAGAACTTTTTTTCCTCAAAGATTTTTCGGCGCCGCGAATCTCAACGACCCAGAAGCCATCTCTGTGGATCAGAACATTTCTCTCACCAGCAGAACCTGAAGAATGTCTCCTGCGCTGATCACTCACAGCATTCTGTACAAACGCTGCTGCTTTTCTGTGTAGTTCTGCATGTTCTGAGCCGGGTCAGAACCTGAAGGTCCGCTCAGGCCCGGTTTCATTTGTTCTCTCTGAGGTTCTGCTCAGCTGAAACGCTTTGGGTCGGCGGTTCCTCTGAGGTCCGGCTGCCGCGGTAGAAACTGGTTCTGGACCAGAAAAGTGTTCCTTTGGAACCTGTCCGTTTCATTTCAATTCAATTCAGTTTATTTATATAGCGCCAAATTCACAACATATGTCATCTCAAGGCACTTTACAGTTCAACCAGATCATACAGTCAAATTGATACAAAGTTTTCTATCTAAGGAAAACCAGTTGATTGCATCGACTCAAATACAATCCCTCACACTAAGCATGCTTGTAGCGACAGTGGAGAGGAAAAACTCCCTTTGAACAGGAAGAAACCTCCAGCAGAACCAGGCTCAGTGTGAGCGGCCATCTGCCGAGGCCGACTGGGGTTCAAGGAAACAGAAGCAGAGATACAAAAAGCAGCTGTAAAAGGCGGCCCCGTCCAGGAAACACGCAGCCAGGCAGACGAGCTCCAAGGCAGCTCCCATGCCAGAGGACGAGGAGAGCACATCCACTCAGTCACGGTCAGAGAAACAGGACCACACTGGAAAACAGGCCGATCTCCAACATCTATAAACAAGGGTGTTGATAGAAGCAGCACAGCTGATGTTTCTTTCCAGGATGACGTCACAGCCAAACAGGAACAGACGAGGCAAAGCTACTCTGAGGAAAAGCAGAGAGAGCAGAAGGTTAGAGATTGAACTAACAGATTCTGCAGAATAGGAGGACAGAGAGAGAATGAAGCAGAATGATGAAATGGGGGTCCCTATGTCCTCCAGCAGTCTAAGCCTATAGCAGCATAACTATAGAGATAGCTCAGGATAACCTGAGCCACTCTAACTAGAAGCTTTATCAAAAAGGAAAGTTTTAAGCCTAGCCTTAAAAGTAGACAGGGTGTCTGCCTCACGGACTAAAACTGGTAGTTGGTTCCACAGGAGAGGAGCCTGATAACTAAAAGATCTGCCTCCCATTCTACTTTTAGAAATTCTAGGAACCATTAGTAAACCTGCAGATTGAGAGCGAAGTGCTCTGTTAGGAACATAAGGAACAATCAGATCTCTGATATCAGATGGAGCTTGGCCATTTAAGGCTTTATATGTGAGAAGGAGGATTTTAAATTCTATTCTTGATTTAACAGGAAGCCAATGAAGAGAAGCCAGGATAGGCGAGATATGATCTCTCTTTTTAATTTTCATTAGAACTCTGGCTGCAGCATTTTGGATCAGCTGAAGGCTTTTAACTACAGTTTGTGGACTTCCTGATAGTAAAGAATTACAATAGTCCAGCCTTGAAGTAACAAATGCATGGACTAGTTTCTCAGCATCACCCCTGGACAGGATATTTCTAATTTTTGTAATGTTCCTCAGATGAAAGAAGGAAATTCTAGAAACCTCTTTGATATGGGATTTAAATGACAGGTCCTGATCAAAAATAACACCAAGATTTTTTACTTTATTATCTGAAATCAGTTTAATCCCATCCAAATGAAGTGACTGGCTAATCAGCTTCTTTTTCAGAGACTCTGGTCCAAAGACTATAACTTCTGTTTTGTCTGCATTCAGGAGCAGAAAGTTAAGAGTCATCCAGGTTTTTATGTCTTCAAGACATGCCTGTAATCTATGTAATGGGTTAGCTTCATCTGGATTATAGACAGATATAGCTGGGTATCATCAGCGTAACAGTGGAAATTAATCCCATGCTGTCTAATAATTCTACCAATTGGGAGCATGTATAAAGTAAAGAGAATTGGTCCTAGCACTGATCCCTGTGGTACTCCACAGGTAACCTTTGAGCGTGTTGAAGATCTATCATTAACATGAACAAACTGAATTCGATCAGATAGATAAGATTTAAACCAGTCTAGTGCTGTTCCTTTAATTCCAACAAAATATTCAAGTCTTTCTAAAAGAATATTATGGTCAACTGTATCAAATGCAGCACTAAGATCCAACAGGACGAGCACAGATACAAGTCCATTATCTGAGGCCATGAGAATATCATTAGTGACTTTCACCAGAGCTGTTTCAGTGCTATGATGAGCTCTAAAGCCAGACTGAAACTCTTCAAAAAGTTCATTATGGTGGAAGTGATCGCAAACTTGTTTGGCAACTACTTTCTCAAGAATTTTGGATAAGAAAGGAAGATTGGATATAGGTCTATAATTGACCAAGTCATCTGGGTCAAGAGACGGTTTCTTAAGCAGAGGTTTAATTACAGCAACCTTAAAAGCTTTAGGTACATATCCCTGTAACAGAGATAGATTAATCACATCTAAAATGGAGGAGGAGATCAAAGGGAATACTTCCTTAAATAACCTGGTTGGAACTGGATCTAACATACAAGTTGAAGGCTTAGATGAAGACAATAATTTTGCTAATTCAGAGAGTTCAACTGGATCAAAGCAGTCTAAACCCGGTTCAGATTCCATGACTACCTCAGGTACAATCGCGGATAGAGGAGTGCTTATGATCTTATTTTTAATAAGATCAATCTTATTTATAAAGAATCCCATAAAATCATTGCTGCTAAGAGCAGGTGGAATGGACGGTTCAACAGAGCTATGGCTCTGGGTGAGTTTGGCAACTGTATTAAAAAGAAATCTAGGATTATTCTTATTCTCCTCTATTAATGAGGAGAAGTATGCTGCTCTTGCTTTACAAAGAGTCCTCTTATACAGCAGTAAACCATTTTTCCAGACTAGGAAGGACTCTCGCAGGCCTGTGGAGCGATATTTTCTCTCCAGTTTCCTAGCATTTTGCTTCAAAGTACGCAGCTCTGCATTAAACCAAGGAGCAAGCTTTCTATTTTTAACGGTTTTCATTTTCAAAGGAGCTGCGTTGTCTAAGGCAATACGCAGAGAACTAGCAACCCCATCAACAAAATCATCAACCTGTGAATGGGAATAAGCTAAGCTTTTGCACTCTGGAGCACTGCTCAGTGACACAGAGGAGAGAGAAAGTGAAGCAGATTCTTTAAAATTTATAACTGCACTATCTGATAAAGATCTACTAAAATTGAACCTTCTTTTGGGGGAGGAGAACTCTGTTAAAGTAATCCTGAAGGTTATTAGAAAGTGGTCAGAGAGGACAGGGTTGTGAGGAAATACTGTTATTTCTTCACATTCTATGCCGTATGTCAGCACAAGATCCAAAGTATGAAGATGAGAATGCGTGGGACTATTCACATTTTGAACAAAGCCAATAGTGTCTAAAATAGCATTAAAGGCTGCTCTTAAGCTATCGCCTT